TTGTTTAAAATAATTCCATTAATAAATTTAGCATCTAACTGGTCTCTAATACTAATAAAAGTTTATACTAAACAATTCCTACGAAAAAAATCGAACACAAATAAAGTCTTATAGTACAGAAAACAACATCGTTGCTATTGTAAATTTGTTGTTTTTTCTCCTACTAATATATAATAAGTTTTTTATACTTAAATATTTGCAAAAATATGTTTGTGATTTAGCTCAAATATATATTAAAGTTAAGAATAAAATTAAATTAGAATTTTGAATCAATAAATGGTGAAAAATGGCCCGTTACTCTTGAAAATGTTTGAAGATAGCTTTACTACAAACATTTCACTCTACGATACTCAAATCTCTTTTTTAAATGATCAAATGTTAAGGGTAAATTTGGGGTTGCTGTGAGCTAAATGCAATCTGTTTTGCTCCTATGTTTCTGGGTTAAAAGTAACAAATTTGGGTTTTACAAAGTTAATAAGGAATTTATCATATTAAGAAATACGAATTTCTTACATCCTTCCCCGTATTCCCCTACTTTGTGGTCAAGAAAATAAAAGATTTTAAAAACATTTTTAAATGGTTTGTTGTCTACGAAAGATTTAGATCACGGACGTAGCCAGAAATCGGGTTCAATAGACTAAATGTGTCTGAAAACTAAAGAATTTTTGTTTTAATAATTTTGTTTTTTAAATGTGTTAATTGGTCAATTGTTCAAATAATACACTTTTTTATTTCGGCTATATTCTATAGTCATTTTCAGAATAACATAGGTACTAATAATATAGCAATAATTATATATAAATTTCAAAATAATTATAAAATACATTAACTATAAGATAAAAAATACATACATAATATATGGAGAACTTCTTTTTATAAAAACTGATGAGCAAGTAAAATAATTATTAATGAATTCTGCAAAATATCTTATATATCATTTATAAGAAAATAAGAAATCTGATCATAAAATCAAATCGAGGATCTAGTTTCACTGGCATATTCACGGATGGGGCCCCTACCCCCAGTGACAAAATAATACATAATACAAAAAGTTAGTGAACTGTAAAAATAATACCAAAAATAATATTATAAAATATTACTTCTGCCAAATTTTATTAGTAGGTCTCCTCTTGGATAAGCCCATGACTGAAATTGTAAATTTCTTCAAAAATTATTCGTTTTAAATTTGAACTCTCAAAATCAATTTGTTTGTAAAATAAATTATAGCAAAAAACGTTTTATTGGTTTTTATTGAATTCTTTCTTATCTCCATAAAAAACACGTTTCGCTTACTAAGTCATTAACATTGTTATTGGTTAGTATTTGATTTCGAGAAATGATTAATTATTTAAAAATAATCAATAAAGACTTTCACTTTACTTGATTATAGCTAATCAGTTTGTGTTACCGTTTTTATTGGGGATTTTTTTTTTTTTAAATTAGGTAGTGTTAGAGCTACAAATAATAAATGGACTATTAAGACTTAGTGTGTGGTTAAAAATTATATTAACTAATAAAAACAGTCAAATTACTCCGTTGATAACAGGTTTTTGACCTACTAACACTGGATAGAGAAGGAGAAGCGTCACAGTATGTGAGAGCAGATAAGCTATGTGAGAAGAGATAAAAGACTGTTATAGTAAAATTAAATAAGTAATTTTTAAGATATACGTATCCAAAGGTTAAAGTTCAAATTTATTTTATTTATTAATACACATTTGAAGAAGTATATGTGGAAGTAGATATACTAATATATATATATACATATATATACATATAAATATATAGCAAAATGAGTTTGGGCGACTATTTGAGTACTTTGCAAAGAGTATATATATATATATATTATATATATATATATATATATATATATTATATATACTTTTGGCAAAGTACTCAAATAATCGTCCACATTTATAGAACATTTTGCCATTTCTATATATAAACGTTATAAGCAATCTTCAAGATCGCAAATAATACGCAATTCATCCTTTGTTTGCTTATGGGAGAGAATAAATGCAAAGATAAGCATGTTATAATATATGTTATATATAAAAAACTAAGAGTTAAGAAGTGAATAATCAGGAATTAAAATTTTGGTTGAAAAAAAAAATTAAGTAAATTTTGGTCATGAAACTTGATCTTAAAGCATATCAAAAATATTGTTTATTTTTTGTTTTGTGAACAGTTATTTTTGCTGTCTAAATAATTTTTTTCATGAGCCGACTTAAAATACTTACGAAAATTGAGAGTAATATGTGATTGATGTGACTGAGTTTTTGTATTTTAAATAATAAAACATCTTAGAGTATCGGTGCGGATTTATCTTACGGATAAAAATGTCTACAGTAGACATCATGTTCTTTTATTATTATTTATTTATTATTATTAATAAATATTATACCTAACCATTTATCTTAGAACATCTAAATAAAACATTAAATATTAAGGTGATCCTACTAGCAACGTTTCCATTCAAAATTTAAAGATAGAGACTTCAATGTTATATTCGTCACATTATATACTATATATACGATTGATGATTATATGAGCTTAACTACTAAGTCCTTTTCACTGAAAATTTTATAATCAGAAGTTTTATGAAGCCTAACAGGCACGTAATCAGGGAATGGACATAAACGACTAAAGTTCTCTACAAATTCAATCGATACACATAAATACAGCGTCCAAAACGATAAAAGGAGTATGGGCGGGAGTATATGGAGTTAAATCAGAAGCGAAAATATTTGCGAGTATGAGTCAAGAAAAAAGTTTTTCAGGCAGAAGAACATGCAATTAAACTATGTCTAAAGGAATATAAAGGGACACCCATCACAGGAAGAAACATATATATTTTCTCTGACAGTAAATCAGCAATCCTAGTACTATGCTCACCTCGAGTGACCTCAAAACTAGTGTAGGAATGCCTTCGCCTTCTTAAAAGCCTTGTTGAATGGAACAGGGTTCATTTAATATGGATCCCAGGACACAACGGATTTGAGGAAAACGAGAAAGCAGATGAAATAACCAGAAAAGGGGCGGCCTCATATCTTATTGGGCCACAACCAATCTGCGGTCCTTCATGAAGTTTTTTTAAATTTAAAACTAAGGAATGGCTGGAAAGAGCAGCTAAGACTAATTGGGATAATGTAATTGCATGCAGACAAGCTAAGGAATTCATGCCGAATCAATCGAAAGCCAGAACTAGGGAGCTTCTAATGCTGAACAGAAATGCCATCCGACTTATCACAGGGTTTCTCACTGCACATTGCGGAGTAAAAAAGCATCTATCGAACCTAGGTATTACAAGAGACAATAGCTGCAGACTTTGTTGTGAAGAAGAGGAAACAGCAGAACACATTCTGTGTCAATGTGATAGTCTCGCCAGACTCAGACTTCGGTACATACCAACTGCTTATCCACTTATAACAGAATTAGACAACATCTCTCCAAAGGACATAATGGCGTTTTTAACTGCTACTCGTCTATGGAGCTAAACCCGCGACATGTTTTTAATCTACTACAATTACGCAAAGTTTGTTTTGGTGTACTGGTAAAACCACATTATTTTATTTTTATGGTATACCAAATAAATAAATTTAAATTGATAAATTAATAAAACTAAATTTAACATTGTAACCGTATGTTTATTTTTTTGTTTCTGCGGCCCCCAATCTATACAGTAATTTGCATTACCCCGCGATCGCATCTGGTTTAGACAGCACCATGGCGGTGTTAAGTCTATCTAAGGATAATAAACAAAATTTATTGTAGTGGTTTTCTATCCAAAAGGCGGTCTTAGGCCAACGCACTTGAGAACAATTGTATATAGTCAAGGTATAGAAATTTATATATTTATAATATATAAATAAATATAACATTTATAGACAAGAGTTCTACTTTCATTAAAATTTGTATAATCCTTTTAAGTTTATTAAGTACTAAATAAGTATTCTTAGACATAGATCCTCCGTCTTGACCTTGAGAAACTATGTCCCAGCAAATATAAATTTATTGAAGTGACGCTGGACAATGACTGAGTACATCCCAGCATACTATAACGAGCTAAGGAATTCGTGTCGTTACATTTCCAATAGGAAAATAGAACTTAAAAATCGGTTCGTGCGATAATAAATAATAAATTATCGCTCGCATTCTTGGTGATTATCCAATAATTTGTTAAAAAGGATACTCCTGCTGCGTTATTGTGAATTAATATCTTAGATTTTCGATTATTTATAGATTTTGTTTAGGAATATCTATTTATCTGAGTTTGTTATTCTTCTACATATATTTTCATATATGATAATACAAAATAACATTAAAATTTACATTAATAAATGTTTGAACTTTTGCAGTTTTTTAAGACTCAAACACTTTCTATGGTAAAAACACAGAAGTCACTTACCTGCCCATCCTATACAATTAAGGGATTTCTTCAGTAATGAACTGTATTCTCAAATATATTTTCTGAAGTTTTCAGATAATATAATATTTAAAAAATTCAAATATAATTGAAATATAATACTAAAGGTTTATATTATTATATATGGAATTTATTGGAAGAACGTGAATAGCGTATATTGTTTCAGTGTCATGTAGATATCAACTAGAGTAATTATATTAATTAACTTTTTTAAAAGTAGTGGCTACAGCTATCATTGTGAAAACTTAATGATCCATTAAAAAACTTCTTTATATATATAAAAAACAATAGACACTCATCAACTGTCTATAAAGTAAATTTCTCACGTTCTGCTTAGAATATATAGCGATTATTTAGTCTGTAAGTATACAGTTTTGTTATTTATTGTACTTTAAGCATGTTTTCATTCACACATTTCGAAAAGTATATAATTTAAAAATCATTTAAATTATTTAAAATTTTAATATTAAATATATTCCATTTCCTTGAATAAGACAATAAAAACAGAGTGCATGCATTTGATAGGCTTTGTGAAACAATAATTTTTAAATAATACCATATATATTAGACTTACTTAATGGGATCATCCATACTATTGGTTTTTTTCGAGTTTAATACGTTTGAATTTGATTTCGTTTCGGAGTCTTGAAATACTTTCGAATTCTTTTCATTGAGGTTCATTTTCATTTCTACATAGAAAATTACATAATCTACGAAACAAACACAAAACGTAACTTATGATGTCAAGTTTGGTTTATTAAAAAAGGTATTTATTTATATTATGTATTATCTATATATATATATATATAATATAGCCAATAATGTATATATAACAGTTTAAAATTGGGCAGATTACTCACTTTCCATGAATGCTTAGTTAAATTATTCTCCAAATTATACTTGAAATTCTTCGAACATATATATACAGCCCACTTCCAGTCCGAGTTCTATAACTCTAATTTCTATAACTTGAATTTTCTATAACTCCAACTAAATAGAGTACAACAGGGTTTAGAGAGCAAATTGCATGCAATTTACATACATAAAAATTCTTTAACTCGAAGTCTTCATAAGTTGACCTATTCTTTTGCAAAATGGTACTTCGAGTTATGGAGGTTTGACTGTATATATAATATAAAGTCGGTAATGTATATATAACAGTTTAAGGTTGGGAAGATAACTCACTTCCTATAAATGATTGATTAAATTATTCTCCAAATTATTCTCACAGTCAAACTTCCATAATTCGAACTCATATAACTTGAATTTTCTAAAACTCCAATTAAACAGAGTGCAACAGGGTTTAGAGAGCAAATTATATATATTCACAAAAAAAATTTATTAACTGTAATATAAAATCTGTAATGTATATCTAACAGTTTAAGACGGCGAAGATTGCTCATACATTAAAACAAATGGTTAAATAATTCTTCAAATCATTTTCATTTCCATATTCAAGCTCCTGTACTTCTATTATAGTCTTGTCTCTAATTCTATACAAAATGCACATTAGCTACATTGTTAGAGTGCGATCCAGCATGTTACCAAGAAGAAGCAAGGATTTAAGAAATTGATGAATTAAAGTATTTCCAAAATAAATCGAAGAACTATATTTATACATATGCGTTTTCATTACTAACATAATATGACTGTTTAGCAAGATAACATATTTTACATACATTTAATTACTGAAGTTATCTGAAAGCCCTTTTAAATCAATTTCCAACATAAATAAGCTGTATAAAATATTTTCTTGCGTGAAAGCAGTGGATCGATTAATATAAAACTACATTAAAATACAGTCCTTGAACGTAATTTTAAAAGGCAAAATGAAAACTTTTATAAAATACAGTATATAATATATACCTATATACTTTAATTAGAACAATTGGTGAATAAAAAATTCTTCAATAATATATATATATGTAAGTATATTATAATATTATATATTATTGAAAAATATATATATATATTATACAAAACTATTATATTATTAAAAAATTATATGATATATATATGTATATCATTTAAAATTTATTTAAAATTATACCAAGATATTGGACCTTGGCAGTAGTTTAAAAATGAAAATGTTTGAAAACAAGCTCTATATCTAAGATATAGTTAAGTGGAAGATAGTTATGAAAAAAGCAGATCGTATTGGAGATAAAAATACGTTGTATATGTATCTGAAGTCGCTTCTTATTGTTATAAGTAGCTTTCATATCAAAATGTTTAATTTTATGAAGCGTTGTATTTCGAAAACTGAGTTTTATTGACATACGAATGTAAAGTAATAGAAGAATTTATTTGAAATAAACATCTTCATGAAAATCCGTAATCAAAATAAATAAAATTTTTAAGTGCATTCGCTTGTATTTGAAATTTTATTATTCACTCAAACAAATGGGTTTTAAAATGCTTCGAAAGCATTTTCATATTAAATTAATTAAGTGTAATTGGAGTGCATGATATTTAGATGGAAACTGTCATCAAAAATTTTATGAACAAAATAAGCATGAATAATTCCCTATCGTTTACAATTAAAGGGAGACTCGGCTTATCAACTTAAGAACTTGGACTTTCAATAAAAATAAATAAATTGTGTTGATGCCAAGAGTAGAATAAAAGTTGCTTTGTTGCCACATTTTTTAATTAACACAAATAACTTACGATTTTATGTGGTATCTAATTAAGATTTTTGAGTATATTCACTACTTTAAAAAAATAATTTATTTTATTAAAATATTTTTAAGCTGTAAATGTTAAAAGATTATAAATTACATATTAAAGCTTACAATTCAGCAATGAAGGCAATGAATCTCAAGTTTTTGGATACATGATTTTGCGATGCTACGATACTTACGTAGCTAAATCTTTTAATCAACCTCATGATTTATTTATATTTTACCCAAATAATATAAATAATTCTGATTGTTAGTAATTCTTATATTTAATTATTCGAGTAGAGAACTCGAATGAGCTGTACGGTCAATTAATTTAAAATAACCCAAAAAAAATATTTGTTGTTGCAATTTTACTACTCTACGGTAAAAACCTCTCTATATAAAACGATAGTTTATATTAAGAAAGTAGTTTCTTTCGTCAAAATGAACGTTAAAAATCAATTTAATAATATTTTTTATATAACAAAACTACCATTTGCGCCATTCGATTCGCCAAACCTATGAAGATTTGCCAATAGCCACCATGTCATCAAGTTAAATGACATCCTTGCACTTAATTAGTCCTACAGTTCATTTAAAATTTAAAAAAATAATAACCATTTGTTAAAAAGCATTTGCAATGAAAACGTGGCCACGTCATCTAGGTTAGCCTGCTAAGCCTATATAATATAGAGTCTTATTTATTTGCTATGATGGATTAGACTCATATTACATAGCCGATCTAATAATCATCGGTCAGCACATTTGTTAAGATTCTTAACGAATCGTCAAATTTTCGAATTTATTTAAAGTCGAATATGAGAAGATTATGACGCTTTTTTTAACACATGTCTATTTAGGAAATGGGGTGGTGGAATTGTACCTATGTTAGATAAAGGTCCCAAAATTACCGTGGATACCTACCGTGAAGGAAAAACAACGGTGTTCTTCACAATGCGTGTGTGTATATCACGCCAATGATTGTCCCATTGGAACTCCAAGGAATTCCACCGGTACCAATTGAAATACTTATGTTGAATTTTGAAAGATTTAACTATGAGTTTATTTTGGGTACAACTTGGGAGTTTGAATAATTTTAAATTCAACAATTAGTTTTTCAGCCGTAATGAATTTTCAAATCAAAGAAACCTCAAATTTCTTAACATATTCGATAAATTGAACAGAATATGAAAAGGGCTACTATAAATTTTTAACAAATAAATATACTTTAATTGCTATTTTATTTGTTCTTTCAGATATGACAATGCTTAACGTTGAAATTAATAATATATTCGCTATTATGACATACAGAGATAATTAAATATATGTTCAAACTTCTATAGACTTGCGAAAGGTGCGACTTTAGTATTTATCTTTACTATAAACTTGGTATTAATTAATAGGCGTAGTTTCTAATCAAAAAATTAAATACTTAATAAGTGTTAATTGATGTAATACATTACTATTATTATTTTTACACATAATAAAAAAGATAATTGGAAAAAATCTTATAGATCCATAAAATATTGCTCCACACACAGGTTTGTTTAGATTTGCTTACTTCATCATATACTCATACAATACCAGAATTTCAATAGTAGTTTAATCCATGATAGATAATATATAGAGAAAACAATAACGTATATAAACACTTAACATTTTTATATTATATATATATATATATATGTATACATAATATATATAAATGGATATGAGCGGATATATGACTTTAACTGAGACTGAGTTTAAAACTGAGTTATATTTATATATACATAAAATAAATATGCTTTTATAATTATTTTTGTATATATATATATATATATATATATATATATATATATATTATTATAATTATTTTTGTATATATATATATATTGTAAATATGTATATTCATAGCATATATTTCCGATTAATTTGTCACTTGTTTCAGACGATAAAAATGTAAATTAATTAATTGGTTCTGTTTTTTTTTTTACAATGAGACAACTTTCAATAACAATCGGAAATCGAACTTTGTAACCTTCTGTATCAATGTGCATTTCAAAGAAAATATGTTACTCCATAATTTATGTGTAATAACAACAAATAAACAAATAATAAATAGATTTAAATTTTTAAAAATAATATATACAGTGAAAAACATTTACAGTGAAAACGTGAGTTGAACGGCGATTCATTAAAAACCATCACTATAATTTCACAGAATAGAACATAAGCTTTTCGATATTTTCAGATATATTATTTAAACCCTTTAACTACTAAAACTCATATCTTCTCCACAATCAGAATGTGAACTAATTAATCAAAGCCCACCTATAATTTAATAAATGCTTAAATAATCTATAAAATCGAGGACTTTAAGTAATTGAATATACCTCAGAGTATCACTGTGATGAATAATATTGGAGTTTAAAATGATTGTTATTGCACTGGAGCTAATTTTATAAATTATGGACGCATTGTCCCAGCGCATTGTTGTGCACTGAAGGGTTAAGAATTACAATTAAACTATACAATTAAACAATGTGAAACTATTTAATCTTAAAACTATCTAAGTTGAGAAATCAAAGGAAAACAGATTTCTATTAATATACTACTTCAGCTGATGTTGTAGTTGCCCAAGGAAATGACTCAGTACATTAAAAGATTGCAACACTTCGCAATGGGATGGGATCAGGAAGAGTAGAATATTCTATTAAATTATTTCTATCCCATATGCCAAGCTGAGGCGTACACATGATCGAAGAAGTGATGGATGTAAGATGTTGAACCCCACCATGTTGAACACTTATGTAGAGATTTCAGCTTCTTATTTTATTTAAAAATAGTAGGAGTAGAGTTATAATTAATTCTACTTAATAATCCAAACTTCTCATATCACTTTTAGTTTGTATAATAGAACCGCAGCAGGTGGGTGTTAGATGTTGAATCCTATCTAAATACAGGGACTAACTTCTGTTTATTTATTTATATAAAATTTTATAAACTTTTTGATACAATCAAGAGCACGAATTAAGTGGGGTGAAAGAAGAAAATCCATGAAAACGATAGATATATGATATAATAGACCAATTTATTAAAATAGATGATTGGAGAGTTATTAGAACAGACCTGGCATAATGGTACGTATTGAAGAAGCACTAGTCCACTAAGAATTGTAACATCATGTTTAGAAAAAGAATTCAGTAAAGATATTATTCATTATTTTATTTCTAAAAAAAATAATTTCCTATACATACAGAATAAATATATATATTGAATTAAAATAACAAATAATATTTTAATGCTTAATTTAAAAACATTAAAAAACATATTTATTTTGTAAAATATTGAATAAAACTTCTATGAAAAATAATTTAAAAAAATTTTGAATTATTTTATTTTTTAATAATGGCAGGTACGTATAAAAAACTAATTTCTTTAAAAATATTTTAAAAATTAAAAATACCTATACGCTCTGCTTTTTATTAAAAAATATTTAAAAAATTTATATTATATTTATTAAAATACATTTGAAACAAGATTAAATGAAAATTCATAATGGACAAAGTAATTACACAAAATGAGTGAGTATACTCGGAGATATACTTAAACAACCTATAATTTCTTTTTAACCAAGGTATTAACATGTCTACCATCCACCATTTCGATTTGCCAGTCACCTAGTTAAACAATGAATTTAGTAAGTTAACTATTTTCAATAACATTTTCTACTATGCTATCTGCCAAATACTTCCCGAGATATCGAGATTTTGAGTTGTGAAGTTTTATATTATTCATACTAATAAAAAAATTGGGCACGCCACCTAGGGCTTATTGGTATATGCAATAAGCACATATTTTTTGTTAATAGTTTTTATGAAAAAACTAAATAGTTTCTCGAAAACTGAACTGTATATATAGTATAATAAAATAATATATAGTAATATATAGTATAGTAAAAAAGTTCGTTTAAAATAGTCGTTTTACTAGAATTCCCTGACAAATGAACAGGCCCGCGAAATCGGAATCATGCCTAGGAACTTTCCGGTGTTCCAACTTAATTATGTTTATCTTCTCTTAAAAACTTTTTTTATTAATTATAAATTAAAATTTCTTTTATTTCCTGTTCTCGTTAACAAGTTCTGCTGTCTTGTGTTATTAATTTTATTGTCATTAAACCTTGAAGCACTGGACTAATTTTTGAAGACTAATACAGGTGGACAATTTTTTCTTGAGATCTCACTAGATAATCGAAAACTGTGTTACTGTGAAAACTTCAATCCGTCGTGGAAATAGTCTTAAAGATATACCTTAAGACGGATTGATTTAAATGTATAACGGTCAAATTCGTAAACGAGATTTATATTTAGTTAGATTCAAATGTATAGCGGCTATTGATGATATTTTCGTATACGTGAAAAGACCTTAATGTAGGAATTTTTTAAAATAATATGCTCTCGTCGTGTAACTGAATTTTGTTACATTTTGTTAGGTATTTTGAATGTCTTCGATGACGGATGGATTCATTTTCAAGGGTGTAAGAAAAAATTTATACATACAGTCAAACCTCCATAAATCGAAGTATTATTTTGCAAAGAAAAGGTTTAACTAATGGAGATTTCAGGTTAAAGAATTTCATGGTAAGTATATGTAATTTGCTCTCTAAACCTTGTTAGTTGGAGTTATAGAAAATTTGAGTTCGAATTATGGAAGTTTGACTGTATATCGCAATTGACGAATTTATTAACTACCTCACAATTATGTTATCTTAAAATTGAAATTTAATATCTGAGCATAACGGTATTCCTTTTAAAGAAATCTCTATTACTGATTGGAATTTAAAAAAAATTAACCAATCAATCAATTGATTATTATCGTAAAAAATATGCAATTATCATTTTTAATTATTTGAAAGATTTATATTTACTTTATAATTTTACAATCTAATAAGTATTTATATAATGTAAAAATTTCGTTTCTAATATTAAGAAGCAACGAAAACCGTGAAGGACCTAGGATTAACACAATACTAAGTACCAACGAAAACCGTGTAGGAAGCAGGGTGAACAAAAAAAAAACTAAATGAACATTACAATAACAAATATTATAAATTTTGGTTACTAAAATTACCGGATGATGATTATTCATCACTAAATAGTTGATCACATTTAAAGAAATGAGTTGATTTTTTCTAAATATTAACAAAGTTCTGTGTTCATCCAATATAGTCCTGGTGGGATACATCGTCAGTGATAAGTATTGTATTGAATAGAGAAATATACGTTTAAAAAATTTCTGTATCACTATTAGGTGAAAAGAACACCAAAGTCATAGATTTATGTACTAATAAATTGCAAATGATGAGAAAAAAATATAGTCCAATACAGTCCTAACAGGCTGCATACCAGTTATTTGTGAAATTACGACTATCTATACTTTTTTAACCGTATTAACTTACAGTATTGTACTGAGAGTTTAATAAAAATAAGACGATTAATAGAAATAAGATAAGATTTATATGCAAAGAAACTGCAAATGAAGAGAAAAAGACGTAGATCTAATCTATATTATTTAAACTCACTCCTTTACAACGTCAATAGGAATTAATTAAGTTATATATCAAGGCAACTAGGCGAAATCTAGGCGAAATGGTGGAAGATCTGTGTAGTGTGAAGTGCACAGTTTCAGTTAAAATTGTATTATTAACTTTTGTTAGAAGAGATAAAGATGTAATAAAGAGAAAGAGGTTATAGATCTAATATATGTATATTATTTAAGCTCCTTTACAACGTTAATAGGAATTAATTAAGTTATATTTTAAAGCAACTAGGCGAAATGGCGAAAGATCTGTGTAGTGTGAAGTGCACAGTTTCAGTTAAAATTGTATTATTAATTCTTGTTTGAAGAAATGAAGACGTAATGAAGAGAAAGACCTAATAGATCTAATATATATTAAATAAACTCACTCCTTTACAATGTCAATAGGAATTGAGTTATATTTCAAGGCAACTAGGCGAAATGGCGAAAGATCTGTGTAGTGTGAAGTGCACAGTTTCAGTTAAAATTGTATTATTAACTTTTGTTTGAAGAGATAAAGATGTAATAAAGAGAAAGAGGTTATAGATCTAAAATATATGTATATTATTTAAACTCCTTTACAATACAATGTCAATAGGAAATGAGTTATATTTCAAGGCAACTAGGCAAAATGTCAAAAGATCTGTGTAGTGTAAAGTGCACAGTTCAGTTAAAATTGTTTTTTTTTTATATAAATTTGTGTTTTGTGTGTATTGCAATGGAAACATTTGTACATTGAAAGGTTTAATTAGATTTCAGTTATATTGCATGCAACAAAATATACATTTCCTCCTCTTGGGAAGACCTATAAATCGGTGAAAACAACAACACTAACAACGACAAAATCATCAAAAATAACAGCACAAATAAACGAATAAACGAGAACGTATACATTTATTTATTGACTATTGAAATTGGTACTTTTACCTTTAAATATTGTTTCTGTTTTGTTTTTGGTTTTTGGTTTTTGTTTTTTGTTTCTTGTTTCTTATTTGACGTTATTTTTTTTCTGTTTGATTTTCACTAATCACTAATTCGTCCAATAAGTTTAACAGAATGCCCTCAGCTAGCGGCAAAGAAGCAACTAGTAGCATGCGCCAAATTTTGTGACTCTCCACGCAAGTACGGAACAGCCGAAATAGCGTTTACGAAATGTCAACGTACAGCGAAGAGTTTGATTGTTCACTTTCTGGTTAAGTTCTTCATAAATATATTAAGGCAGTCAATATTTAACTCAAAAATAAAAATTACTTATTTTATAAAAGAAAAATTTAAAAAAAAAATTGAAAAATTGAAAAATAAAAACTATTAAGCAAAATGATTAAAAAATCGTAGTAATATTATTGTATAAATTCATTCACTTCATCACGTTTTTTAATTTTTTGTACAATATTTTAACAATATTTGCAACACAACACAGAAATGAAATAAAAATTATTTTCTTGTTTTTTTATCTTGATTGCACGAATGTGAATAACTTGGCCACACAGACACGGAAAAATATAAATTCGCTTTATTTAAGCATTAAGCATGCGAGACGCAACTGTTGTTCGTTACGTAGCCGGCCGTACAATAAAACCGCTGCGCGTGCATTAAAGAACAAAGTTTAGAAAGCATTTTTTTTTTTTTTTTTTTTTTTTTTTTTATTTTTTTGAAATGAGTGGAGAGTGAAATTTACATTAATAGCCGCGTTTCGAAGATAATCGATTTTGATCCATAACTTGTTTTACCAACAGATGATCAGTATTGATTTACTGTCAGCACTTTTAATCATTAATCAAATTTAGCAACACAGCAATATAGCAATATAGCAACTTAGCAACATAGCAACATAATCCCAAATCCAAAATTTAATAAGGAAGAGACGATATATAACAATTATGCACCAATTTTGTTGAACAGAAAGTTTTTTTTATCGAAATTGTAGTGTATTTTGAGTGAGTTGACTCCGCTCTTTTCTGCAGCATATAGCTCTCCTATTCTATGATAAATAAATAATTACTTATCCGTAATATGATTTTAATACGAAACAATATAAATACAATATCATTTGTATAAAAAATAATTTAACAGACCAAGATAGCAACAAAATGTTGCTACTATTTGTGTGCTCTCAATAAATTTTAATTGTAGCAAAAACTCAACGGCAATGTTCACTCCGAAATCACTCTACAATTCAGTTTTTAAACCCATATGGATGTACGAAGCGTATACGCAGTGCATTTTGAAATTTTCGAAAGATATTTTTTTATTATAATCTAATTCTTTAAAAATTGTATTTTGTGTATTTCAAAATTTTCGAAACTTATTTTTTTATTATAATCTAATTATTTAAAAATTTTATTTTGTGTATTGCAAAATTTTCGAAACTTATTTTTTTATTATAATCTAATTTTAAAAATTTGTATTTCTTGTATTTTGAAATTTTTAAAGCCTATATATATTTTTATTATATTTTAATTTTTTGATTATTGCTGGCCTTATGTCGTTAATTTAACACATACAATTATAAAAATGTTTTTTTATTTAAAATAAATTATACTTATTTATTTATATTAAATGTTTAAATATATATCAATTTCTATGAAAAAATCTTTATTTCACACTGAAAAAATATCTGTAATATGTATACTTTTTTATAAAAATTAATATATAATAAAATACTTAAATTAATAAGTGTGATTATTTATTTAAAAAAACATTTTTATAAATTTATGAATTAAATAAACGACCTAAGCCCAGTAATAATCAACAACGTATTGAAAATAAGTCGTAATAACAATTTATTAAATATTTTAATTTTTTTAAAATTTTGCATTTTTTTTATATAATACACATATTATCATCATCATCATCATCAGCGTTACAGCTCGGGGTGAGCTTTAGCTGCATCAACCAGCTTTCTCCATTCTGCTTTGCATGATGTTTTAAATCTCCAGCTTTGGATACCCATTTTCCTGATGTCTTCAGTCACGTTGTCAAGCCATCTTATACGTAGTCTACCTCTGTTGCGGTCATTATACGGCGTGAAATGGAGTATTCGCTTTTGTGGTCTATCGTCCGGCATTCTCATGACGTATCCTAACCATCTGAAGCGTTGCGACTTTGCGAACTTCACCACATCTTCAATAATACACATACATAAATATATATTTATGTACACTGTAGTAAACCGAACTACTTGTAGAAATAAATAAATATTAATATAATAAATAAATAAATAATTAATATAATTAATAAATAATACTTTTTTTAAATATATTAGAAATCTGAAAAAATAATAAATGCTACCTATTAACAATTTTAGTGTTAAATAACCGACCTTAAGCTCGAATAAAAAAAATTTTATTGAAAATAGATCGAAATAACAACTTCAACAACAAAAATTATTGTGATATTGTTTATATAAATTAAATTTTGGCTGACCATACAGCTGTTTCGGGTATTACCAAATATTTATCTTCAAAAATTCAATTAATTAAAATAATATAAAAAGAATTTTTGTTTGTTTCTACAATAGTTTTTATTTAAGTAAAATAATTACTACTTTATAACTGTCGTTAAATTACAATTCAAATCTATTTTTTTTTATAATATTAATTATTATTTATTCGTATTTTAAAAAGTGGAAGTAAGCATATAAAAATAAATAATTATAAAAATTTTATTATGCTATAATGAATTAAATATAAATATTAAATATTAAATATTAAATATAATAAAATATTTCAGCATTTATGGTGGTATCCGAATTAGCTGTATGAACAGTCCAAGAATTAATTAATATAACATATATAAAATAGAATATAATATAAAATTTATACAATAACTATTTATAAACATAAATTAACTTTTTGTAGTTAAAGTTAAATACAATAGGCTACTTTAAGTAACATATATACATATAAGTATAGATAACTTTCCCTGGTTTTACTCCATTAGATGTCCACATGATCTATCAAAAAATAAAGACGACCCAAGTTAGAATGAAAAATATAACTTCAAAATTTGTAGCAAGATGTTTAACTTCCAAACACATATATTTAAAAAAAAATTTTTGCCTAATAATATTATATTTAAAAAATTATGTTTTTAAATACTCAAGTTTAATTTTTTAAAATATGAAAATTGTTATCTGTTTTTTTATAGAATTATTTATTGCACATACCTCCAGCTCAAAAAGTATCCGGATTTTGTAAATAAAACACACAAATTTAAATTTTATTCCAAATTTATTTTATCTCCTTCAAAATATGCTCCTTCTGAAACGATACACATATGCCAACGCTTAACCCAATCTTCCATACACTTTTCATAGGCCCGTGCAGGTATCGCGAATCTTTTACAGGTATGGCGAATCTTTTTGAGTCGATTGAATCTTTTACCGATTCAATCGACTCAAAACGCTTACCACGAAGGGGCAATTTGAGTTTCGGAAACAAGAAAAAGTCGCACGGCGCCAGGTCTGGCGAATATGGGCCTGAACGATGACAGTGGTGTCGTGTTTGGTCAAAAAACTGCGTACAACAAAAATTTTCCATAGTAAAAATCGCTAAATTCACTTGAGGTAGTCTCACATTAACAGCTGCTGTAAACAAAGTAATTGACAGATGGCGCTTAAATTTGTATCATATGTCAAGAAAGGGCGTACCAACATAACAAAAAATTTTTTGAAAAAGGTCTATTACTTAAGGAGTAGTTAACAAACAACAAAATCTGGATACTTTTTGAGCAGAAGGTATATTAAGATTACTATTAATATCTATACTATGAGCTGAAAGGGTCTAAGCATCTAAACTCTCTATCTATATATATTTATAGCTATATATCTAACAACTGATAATTAAATTTGTAAAACTTAAAATAAAAATAAATATTCACCTGTTCATGTATAGAAATTTTCAATTTAAGTAGGCGAAAAAATTTAAAAAAAAATGATATACCAAACTCTTTTACCATATTGAATATATATTTTAAAATTAAAAGTAAAAGTAAAACAATCAGAAAATCAATTTAAATATTATATTCAAAATTCAATGTATGTTATTTAAAAACTTTTCAATTTATTTCTTAAAATCCATTGCTAACCATGAAGCGGTTAATTCAGTATACTACTCAGGCGGTCTCCAAAATTATGACGGCGAAAAGTAAGTATTTATTTTTACAACCCTGGATCAGATACTTTATATGTAATATTTTTACTATTTTAAATCTAAAATTAGACCAGGCGCCCACACATCCCACTCAAAATATTAATGCCAATATATCATCAATATTCGGCAAGAGTCTACTAACAACATCTAAAAGTAAGTATTATTATATATAGTCATTGATTGAAAATTGTATTTTTATTTATTTAATTCTCTCCGTAGAAGATTTACAAGATATGACAGCGCGTCCGATAAAAAACACCTACATAGAACAAAATCTAGGTCCGTGAATGAATTCTTCTCATTTTAATAAGCATTTAAGAAATTTTCATATATTTAGATAAAGCAGCAAAAGGCTATAAAAAATCGAAAACAGTTATTACTCGTCCACAGTGCCCACCAGTTAAAGTTCCGTTGTCACAGAGTAAAACACAAGTTACGAATACTGCTAAACGTATACCCGGTAATTAATTGATTTTTTCATCAATCTTTTAATATTCTAACAATTGCTGTTCATTTAGACAACAATCTTGGTGAAGATATAGCAAGAAGAAAATATCCCGAAGTTAACAAGATCAACTCTTACGGTGAGTAATTGAATTTCTATTTAATAATTATTAATACACTGAATGTATTTGTGAGCTCAAATCCAGTTTCTATTTCTGATTATTAAATTGTCAGAATTTTAGAAATATCTCTACATTACTTATATCTTGTAACCAATTAATAGGGAGTACCATCTGCAAGCAAATCCCACATACCTCTCTAACGCATCCTCCTTTCCTCCTAACTTTATTATCATATTCCACCTCTTTTTAAAGTTTGTATTAGTTTTGCTGAAGAAGCTACGCTTTCTTTATAATGCCAATGAAGCTATTATATATTCAAAATTTAAAGGGTTTTCGAATAGTAAAGAAAGAAAGGACAAGCACAAAAAATTTGGGTATTGCCACTCGCTGTTTCGAGTATTGCCAAGTAATCATCATCAGTGCTCTAAGGAAATAATCGAATTTAATTAGTTTATAGTCCGTATACTATTTGTTTGGACTGCCTCTTTTGGAATAATAATAGTCCTTCAAATATGGACTATTACTGCCTTAACGAAACAGATCTAACAGAGCCATACTCTAGGCTACAAAAACTGTAACGATATCTGTATGCACTTACACTCCATTTGTATTCTTTTCAACGTAGTCTAATCTTTCAAGAGAAAAAGCAATTTCATCTTGAAGATCTCAACAGTGGTGCGCATTCAGGCCACCCCAGTGGCATAGTGCGTAACCAATTCCATTGCCATACACCAGGGTGTGGGTTCGATTCCCAATTAAAATAAATTTAAGTCATATTAAAAATGCGTAGTTTTTACTTTTTTCTTCCCTTGGAGAATAATCTCCATAGCATTTTCTAATTTTTTATAATAAAATCAGGCACGTAACCATGTGCCATTTAAGTTTACTCGCATCTGTAAAGAAAGGACTAAAATTGATTTAGACGAGGGCTGTCCAGACCAGATGCAATCGCGTAGTAGATTAAAAATATGTCGCGGGCCGCACAAATATTACCCGCGGGTCGTACTTTGAACAGCTCTGACTTAGACTATTAGTTATATTTAGTTGCAGGCGTATATTAAATACCTATTAAAATCAACCTATTGTTTCTATCCATTCTGTATTAATAATCAAACAAAACTGTTTTTACTTTTCATAATGATCAATTTTTTAATATTATATATACTTTGATAGTTTTAGATGCTACGGGCCTTAATAACTCATCTAGAAATAAAACACTAGCTGGTGTGGCCCAAAAACGTTGCGGATATGAACCATTTCACGACTTTTTACGTGGAATAGAAAAGAACCGCTGCCAAACATCCCGCGAACAACTTCAACTAAAGGTACATTGTCTGTTGATTTTTGAAAATTATATAGATTAATTCAGATATTATTTTAGGCCATAAAGCACCCTGAAACTTGGATATTAAGGCCTAATAAGAAGATCTGATGTCTTTTAGTAATTATGGTGAAGTGGGTTTACAAAACAACAATTTATTACTACTACGGTATTAATAGTAGCAGAAGTATATGTAATCTACATTTTAGATTCATATTTACTATTACTGTACTATTACAAGTAACATTCTAGGACATCTGGTAATTGAAACTGTTTTAGAACACAGAACGCAATGAAAACATCTATTGAAACTTTAAAAAAAGAGTTTTAAAAAAAACTGTTACATGATTTTTAAAAAGGAGTAAGTAAGGTCGAACTCGAGTGATGGGATATGTTGGACTATTCAGATAAAGCATATAGCGGAATTAAAGGAGCAAATGTAAAAATTATAACTACGCTATTTGTATTGCGGTTGCGCTTTCGCCTGCAGCTTTTAAAACTTATCAAACAAGCCGTTACGGTACCATCAAAATTATGTGACATAGTCAAAAAATAGCACCTAATTTTTGACAAGGTTATCTGACATTACCTATATTCTACTAAATTGCGACCAGCGATTGTACCTATATACAGTCGTAAGAATTGGTGAAGTACAAAAAGTGTCGCGGACTTAAATACAATATTACTCTAAGACATCTGCATATATAGCGGATCACTTAATATTGTTGTCAATACTAATAACAACAACTAACAGCGATTTCGTAAGTTTAGGTTTGTAAAGCACCTAAATTGTTGATAGTATATATATTATTGTTAAATAAATTGTACAGATTTTACAAAATAATTAAACTTGTGGAATAGAAAATATTATATATTTTTTCAACTGCTCTGCTTAATCGTTTTAAATTACACACGTTGCTAAGGTATCTATTAGTGTAGATTTCAGTTTTCTTTTCATTTCATATTACTCCAGGTTCTCACCATTCTTTCCTATTAATATGGCAATCCGAATCCATAATACGGAATGACCGAAAACAAAACAAACTAGTACCATGTAAAAATGTTTGCTGAACAGATCCTGAGATTGAAAAAAGTAGACCTTGACAGAAGACAGCTGGAGTAATCAGATATATCATACCAAGATGAAGAGCAAGGTTATTCACCTGCAGCGGTAGCGGGCCTGGACGCAGATCATACCGATGGAAGTCTTAAATGACTAATAGGGACCTTACCTCGAAGTAATACTAACATTTTCCCGAGATAGGACAAGGTCTCTAGGAATGAGGGGTAGTGGTTTAGTCCGCGCGAGTCGGACACTCACTTTTCGGGCGCCAGATTGTGGTCATGGCGAAGACATTCCATACAATATGAGCTAATGACCTAAAAAAAAGGTAGTCGATAATTAGTTTAAACTTATTGAATAATCTAGGTACAATAGTATATGATGCAATATATTTAGTAACTCAAACACATATAAGCTTAAGGAGAATTATGGAATTGAATTATGGAACTATTACATATTATATGTCATTATAATAAATTTATCAGATTATAAATCAGAATGCTTGATGTGATTTCATTGAATTTTAATATAAATTGAACACTTCTTTTTAATTCATTTGAATAATCATGCAATTATTCTATTACTATTCTATTACTGATTTTATTACTGAATGACAAAATCAGTAAATCAAAGAAAGTAACACGTCCTAAGGATTCTTACGAGTTGGAGCCCAGTGCAAGTAATTTGTCCCCGTTGCAGCTTCATACTCCTGGGTTACAGAATCAACTATTTCGCGCGACTCATCGAACTCCGAAAGGTCATTCTTAAACATAGATTCACGACGAAATTGATCCAAAAATGCGCCACGCTTTCGTAGCTTATCAAATTGTGATAGCGCACGCGTAAATAACCAATTGATTCCAGTATGGTTAGCTAACATTAAGCCGGACACTTTATGGTTGGTCTGTACAAATGGTGAGCTGCGCGATAGAGCAACTTGTATGCTAGCTGGACCCCATGGTATGAACTGTGCCAAACGACGTTCACGTATGTGTTGCAAAGATTTGTGTACTTGAGTTGGATCGACATCGCCCTTGAAATATTTATTTATAATAATTGTAATGTAATTATAATGAAAACGTTTTTAATTAATAACATAATTTTAAATAAAATTAAATTAATATTGTATATTAATTGAATACATTAGATTGATTAATTAATTATGTTGAAGCACTTTGAGCCAGTGCACTTGAGCAATTTTACTCTTTCTTAACTCGAGATATTTTCAAAACCACTCTTTACACCTTGACTGGATTATTGTTTATCACTTCGTCAGACTAAGCAATAATTGAACTTACATGTGCACACCTCCCCGAGGAGCCTGTAACCATTCTGAGATTTGATAACGCGATGTCGGTGAGTCTGTCAGTTTTCGCAAATAATTTCAGGGCTCTATCATTCATTTCATTCATTCATTTAAAGCAAATATTAAATTTTATATAGCAATCTTTATATATATCATATATAAAGAATGAATGAATGAGTGAAAACAGGATGAAAGACAATATTTTTTCTTTTAACAATAGATATTCGCCTACTTGTGTACCTTATTGACGCCCAGTTGTACCGGTAATTAATCTTGTAACCAATTAGAAATATCATATGGCCATAATATTGGAAAACTTAATATTAATTCAGGGTTCTGAATCTTGAAGTTTGCAACTAATATTAATATCCTAAAACTCGAATAGTACTTACTTGTATGATATTTAAAATAGAAACATAACAATGATGATTCGTTTTATCCGAACCCAAAGAAGCCATCATATTCTTTGATTGTAAGAGTCTACGCATTACATCTAAAACGGTGGTGCGTGTAACATTGACCTGTGGCTGTCGTTTAAAAAGTTATATTAAAATTTTGAAAATTGATTGGAAAAATAATTAGATATTCTTACCAAATCCTCGTTTGTAATCGGAGTGTAACCGGTCATCAAAAAATGTAAATTTGGCATTGGTATCAATGGAGCTATTAACTCACACAAAGTGTTATTCATGTATGATGGAAAACGCAACGATACAGTGCTAACCGACATTATGTTGGATACAAGTGAATTTATTTGCTGAAATGAAGGATTTTTTATGCGTAAACGATCGGTAGCTATACGATCCAGTGCTGTATTATCTAAGACAACAACGCAATCCGAAGATGTTGTCAAACGCTTCAATGTTAAAAGCGAATTATATGGTTGCACAACAACATCGCTCATCTCATCGTGATTTGGAAAAACGCTATACGTCTTAAGAATTTTCTTTGGGAAACGATCTGACAAACGCTCCATTATATATGAGCCCATTCCAGAACCGGTACCACCCGCAATAGAATGGCACAACATGAAACCCTCTAAAGCATCACTACCTTCAGCTTCCCGATCGATGATGTCAAAAACTTCTTCTTGTACCTTTTCAGCTTGACTATAACCGGATGCCCAATTATTGCCTGCACCGCCGCCATCTTTGGACAAATAAATATTTTCCGGATTATGAAGCTGCAAATATAAATTGAAAATGTTTTCATTTAGTTTAAAAATTAACAATTTTTTACTTTGGCATAACTTGAAGTCAAAATAGTATGTATGACTCTCGGTTCCAAGTCCAATAACACAGCTCTGGGTATGTAATGATTATCATCAGCCTAAACAAACGCAAAAATCGCATTTATAATTTGAATAAGAGCACAAAAATATTTATATCTCACTTGATAGAAAAACACATCTTTACGATCGATTCCTTCCGCGCTGAAATCTTCCACCATACCATTTGGCAAAATGCCATGTTCCATACACAGGCGCTTCCAAAACTCGAAACCAACTAATTGTAAATAAAAAGGTTAGTTCATAATAATACAAATGATTATTAATCATTAATTAATTTTTATATGGTATATGCAAATACCTTGATTTCCACATTGCCCCAATTGTAGAGTTATTAATTCACTTGGCATTTTTTACCACATATATATTATATATTTCGTACTTGAAAAGAAGCTTAATAATTTTTAGAACATGAACCATTATGATCACAGAATTAATTCTCCGTTATCCAACTGTACAAATCGCGCGCTCCTGCTTATGTCGATAGCACAGTAAAATCGAAAGTTAATTATTAACAGAGTTACCAAGCTTGTAAAATTATATTTTAGATTTAGGTTTGATATCTTTGCAACATATTTAAAACGAGGGTGTAACTATATTTTTCGATGAATAATTTTAGAGGAAATGTTGTTGATAATATATATATTTTATATTTTATTATTCCGAGTATAAACATATGCTAAATTTAAGCTTCATTCACTATATCTTAAATATACACAACTATTTTTGTATAGAATAAATACTTACTCAGCCTTTAAACTGACTAAACGTTAGCAAAATTTTTATAGAATTATAAATTAATAAAAATAAGGATGCTTTAAATTTATTATTCATTTTATTTCCCATTTTATATTATTTATTTTTATACAATACATTTTTTGCATTAGTCCACATATGCAAGATTTACTCTTTGCGAAAACGTAACATTTGACAGATTTCAAATATTGGTGATGCCAATATCTCGCTTAGCGCCTATAGTAAGAAACTTTCTTTTTTACCACACTTAAAAGCTGTGGAATGCAGCTATAACAAACAAAAGTGATATGCTATAATTCCAAAGATACGTAACTAAAAATGTTTACAAATTATTAAAAGCTCTCGTCTAAAAGCGTTATCTTTTGTAAGCACAACATCGAAAAAACTCAGCCGCTTATTGCAAGAATAATACGTGAAACAACGGCACTTCTAAAGGATTTAAATTTAATTTAACTTCTTTGACAGCCCTTAACCGATAAGTGGCTACTAACACAAAGTTGTCAAAACTTTAAACTCGTCTATTGTGAATAATTTTAAAAACGCTCGCAAAATTTTCAGTCAGTTGTCAAAAATATTTTTGTTTATTATTTATATGTCATATTATTTTATAAAACTTATATTTTTAGTCAATATTTTTTTTTACAATATTTGTATTGTCGGCCTAAGCTCTTTTTTAAGCTTCTGGTTGAGTTTAATTTTTAATAACATTTTAAATAAAATCATGAAAATAAAATATTTTTATTTCATTCTTTTTTCTTTATTTAATTAAGAAATTTACAACATTTCGAGCGTTTGCACCCGAAATAATGCTTATATTATTTTGTATTTTTCAAACATTCTTATGAAAGATTACTCTAAAATATTTAGTAAATAATTAATAGTATATTATGATTAATATATTATAAATACATATAAGCAAAAGACGAACGAATCAAAGAGGCAATAACGAATATTCGCTAATTATAAAAAAAACGTTTACTTTAAAATATTTATTAAATATTTAATAGTATATTATTGTTAATATGTTATTATTAACATATTATGCTTAATATATTATTATAAATACATTCACATATGAGCAAGGGACGCATGAATCAGAGAGAAAATATCGAATATGCGCTAAAAGATAGTTAAAGAATTTTTGGATTAGAATTAGAGTTAGCTATTTTTATTTATCTTGCATAGTTCATCGCTAACATTGATAGCCAAATTCAAAATTTAATTAAAACTACTATCGCAACATCCGAATGCCATTATATCGATATATAAATGTAGCTACAAAAGGGTTCCACTTTATACTTCAACGATGAAAAATGTGCAATACACAACTTGTCGCAATGACAATACTGGTTCCAAATATGGTACTGCGTGAAATAATCTAATGCATTTCACAAGCGCTGTAGCGGCAGCACCACGGTACTGTGTTTCTTAGAGACCTTAGAGAGGCCATTATAAAAGTTGTCTTTTTAATTGATTTCAACTGTACTTTTAAAAGGTAATTAATTTTATAAAAAACACACCGATACTTTCAGGTATCATACCATCCCTTAACTTTGTGCCATATTGCAATAAGAGATAATTTTTTTTTGTAACATACTGCTGGCAGTCTAAATTTTATATTTTGTCGATCTATTCCAACAATACGAACAACAGAATGGGAAAATAGTTTATATTTGTTTAGGCCAGGTTACAAATAATTATAAATATTTTTTTATCATTTACCTGACCTTTTTGTTAAGTACACAATATTTATTTGTCGCTAACGTGTATTTTAAAACAGAATTTATGAGTTGTTTAATAACAAAAATGCGGACGTATTTATATATCACATTATTTGTGGTCATCGCAATAGTCCTTCATACTCGATACCTTCTCAATTCTTCCACAACTAGATTTTTTGAATTCTGTAACACTTTGTTTGCCATTGGTTTCTACCCAAAATACTCACACAGAGTATAGGTAAAGAATATAGTAGGTCTGTTCTACAAGCTATTCGTAGTAAATTTTAGTACAACTGTGTATACACAAGTGCGTTCCACCAGCAAATTTTCGTGTAAATTTTATTTGAGTTTTAGTACGAGTAGCTCGTGGTACAGACCTAGTATTTTACGCAAATAAGAGAAGAGTGAAAAATAAAACTCAGATTTATATATAAATAGAACTTATATTTTTAATTAAAATAAATGTTTTGCTTAAAACATATCTAAAATTTATTACTGTAAAATATTTGAATCGTTTCATTGCAAATACATGATCATACGGATTTTATGTACTTAAAATTTTTTTATTGAAAAATAAGTCAAGTAAAAAATGAATTGACATAAAAAATATATAATAAACAAGTACAATTTTTATATTACTCTAAGTACTTTTAGCGGCCTTCAACTGAAATAAAGAAATAAAAATCAGTTTATTTTCTAATATATAATTATGTTTTTCGAATTTCTACTTACTGTATGATGACAAATCAATTTCGTCGGGTAGCTCAGATATATTAACATCAAAACGATCTTGTACTTCATTCAATATTTTAGCATCGCCTTCATCCGATACAAATGTAATAGCTAAACCTTTGGTGCCAAATCTACCTGCACGTGCGACACGATGAAGATAAGTGTCAGAGTCTTCGGGCATATCATAATTGAATACGATATTGACTCTTTCAATATCCATACCACGTCCAAATAAATTGGTAGCAACCAAGATACGTTTCTGAAAATCTTTGAATTGTTGATAACGATTGAGACGTTCCTCCTGTGTCATGCCACGATGTATACCGATAGCCGGAAAGTTTTGTTCAGTTAACAATTGGGACAAAGCCATACACCGCTGCACGGACTTGACAAAAATAACAACCTGGAATTAAATATTATGAAAAATATGGATATTGTAAAAATATATATATTGTATATTGAAACTGAACAGTTTCAATCGATTAAATTAAATTCAAACAAGTACCTGATTAAATTCAAGTACATCGAGTAATTCAAATAATTTTTTGTTTTTCTCATTTTCCTTCAATTTTACGTAATGCTGCTGTAAGCCATGTAATGTCAGCTTGGCTTCATCATCGACATATACTTCCATTGGCTAAAATTTAAGAAAGAAAATTAAGAACTTAAAACATAACTTAAGTACACTTTAATATTTGAATACGATAACCAGTTAAGTTAATTTCCTAATATTAATCCTATACTTTTTCATTGTAAGAAAATGATATATGATGTATGACATATATCAAACGCCAAGACTATTTGCGAAGTACTTATTTCTAATAAAACTCTAATTTTAATTTACATACGGACACACTACCACCAAATGTCATAAGTTAAGCCACAGGCAACGTTGTAAAAAGCTAGTAGTTTGATGATTATATTTCCAATATTGGAACTGCATTTTTTTCACCTCACAAGCAAACCAACAACAATGATAGCATTCATTAGCTGCGGCTGATTAACAAGGCTTACGCTCGGATATAATCCATAGTAATTAACCAAAAGTAATTGAATTTTGAAGTCATGAAGATTTCAGAAATTGAAGTGAAGAACGAGAAGTGTCAACGCAAAGGCCTGGTTCTCGAACTCAATCCACGCTTTACTGACGTTTTAAACTTATGTCGATTTACTTTTTTATATATTATTATTTTTTATAACATATTTAATGTTAACACGTGCATATTTCTATTATAGGTTTAAGAATTTCTTTTTGGCTCTACTGAGCCCTATGTCGTTTAAATCATTTAATTATAACCGATTTGAAAGCTTTTTATTTTTATAAATTCTTGTGTTAAAGCGATAGTACTTTAAAACACTATTTTAATCTGTTTGATTAATTCTCTATTATCATATCATTATACGGTTTATTTGACCGTTCTGTTTTATAATTTCAGAATTTTTGTTTATATCATATTTCATTTCATTTCATTTTGTAAGTTATAGATTCATTTGATGGTGAAGTGGTGGTCGATGTGTAGAAAATCAGGATTATATATATAGTTTAATGAAATAACTAGTAGAACTTGTAGTAGAATGGACACGTTGATATTTACATCTTGCATAAATTTCTTGCAAACCGGGCGAATTTCTTTGCTGAGTGTAGCGGAAAACATCATAACTTGTTTTCCATGTGGAGTACTGCGAAATATTTCTTGTACATCACGACGCATATCTAAAGCAAAATAAATATACATGAAAATAAACATAAATATGCTGACATATACAATTTGAATTTTTTTTCTCTTGTGTTTACCTAACTGCTCCAACATTTTATCACATTCATCAAGTACGAAATGCTTCAAATGTTTGAAATTTAGCTTTTTATTTCTGACAAGGGCGAGAATGCGACCAGGGGTTCCAACCACAATGTGTGGAGACGTAGACTTTAACGTTTCTTCATCCTTCTGAATTGACAATCCGCCAAAGAAAACACCAACCTAAATATAAACCAATTTCATATGACTGTTTTTTATAATATAATACACAATTTACCTTTACAGCAGGCATATATTTAGAAAAACGTTCGTATTCTTTGCTAATTTGGAATGCCAATTCGCGAGTATGACACATCACCAAGACATAAACGGAGTTCTCAATTGGTTCTAGCTGTTGAAGTGTAGCGAGAACGAAAACAGCCGTTTTGCCCATACCAGACTTAGCTTGACATAATATATCCATACCGAGTACAGCCTGCGGAATGCATTCATGTTGTACTGAAAATATAAATTTATATATAATATATATATGTGTCTGTATTCATATGTTGAGAGATACACATGCATAATTAACTATATATGATAAAATGCTTAAAGTATGATTAATGAAAGTAACTAACTAACCTTCCGAAGGATGTTCGAAGCCGCAGTCGACAATAGCGCGCAATATTTCAGGTTTTAGAAGGAAGTCTCGAAATCCAGAACTGTGAATAGAAACATATGTGCCCTTAACCTCTTTTTTCTTCGGTTCTGCTGTTTCTAAAATAGTAGTCTCAGTTTGCTCCTCATCTTCGTAATCCAAAAGATCATCGTTGTCTGCCATTCTGAAATGTATGTATGAATAAGTGTAGCGTATTTATAATATACGTGTGTTGGCTTTGTGCGGCCGCCATTTTAGCATAATCTGCGCTAATTTCATCACAGCACATTTAAGAATTTACTTTTATTTATTTTGTTACACTTATTTAAATAGTTTTTATTTATTCTAGAAAAATCATTTACCTAATATTTTCTTAATACAATCTGCAATTATTTAACGGATCTTCAACGTGCAAATACTACCACTTTCAGGAAATTATGCCGCTATGACAAAACCCAATTCAATTGTGCGCTTGTTTAATTTTACTTTTCTGACGAATAAAAAAGAATCCAAGAATGAAACGAACTGAAAAAGAAACACTGCCCAGTAGAAAATGTGTACAAAAAATGCACGTAAAGCAAACACCTCTTCACACAGTCATACAATATCTTATTAAAACTAACTTATCTGTGGACACATTTGTGACCGATTTTGTAGTAAAATCTAAATTTTGACTTATATTAAAGTTTGACGTGAAGTCTGACTGTGCGTAGGCATGTTTGCAACACGTTTGTAATATAATTAATTTTATTACACGTATCGTACAAATTGTACGAAGTTTTTTTTAAAAACGAAATAGCTATCCCCGTAGCTTTTCAATCGATATAAATTTTAAAACTCAATTTTTTACGTTTTTTAAATATTATGTAATATTGAAGTTAGAAATTTTTCAACAATACATAATTCATAAATTAAATTGAATTATTAATTTTAGAATTCAAAATTTTGGTATATATTTAAATAAATGCTTAAACGATCAATAAATAAGTAACAAAGTTTAAAAAAACACAGTTAATAAATAATTATTATATTGAAGCTTTTTGTTTTAATTCATTCTATTTTCAAAAATCTCTGACAAAAACATGTAAGCATAAGGCAGTGTGTGTAGAAATATATAAATATGCGGCAACGTCAGCCGCTGACGGCATTTCCTATATTTAAAAATCCGCAGATAAATTGCATAGTGTGTATAGCTTAAATTTTATTTTGTTAGAATATATAACAGAAATATATAAATATGCGGCAACATCAGCTGTTGACAGAATTCACTGTAAAAATAAAATCTGCAAATAAGTTGCGACAAGTCTGATCCTTGTCGTTTTCACTAACACATACAAATTTTGGTTTTCAGACAAAATTACAAAATAAACCATATTTGTATTCAAACATAAAAGTCTTGCCAAAGTTTAGAATGTATGGAAGCCCCTAAAAAGTGGTTTCCAATAATAATTTGCGTGCATGTATTTCGTAAATAATTCCCAATGCCTGTGCTTTCATAACTTCAGCAATTCTCTTCATTCAGTTGTCACATTTTACTATAAGTAGCTCGTGGAATAGTCCTAATAGTTAATGTCAGCTGTGTATCAGGCGCCCAAAAAATTAGTAGTGGGAGTTGAACCAAATTTGTCATCTAAGCCTCGAATGTAGCATAAAAAATTACTACTAGATATTATTTTAAGTGAATATCCTAAATGGCAACGGCCCCTAGTAGAAAAAGTGATAAGCCTTCAATCTTCTTCTTCTTGTAAAGAGGATTATATTAATTTTTAGGTATTTGGCGAAAAGCCCATTTTTTGTACACGAACCATTAACTAACACAAATGTAGGTTGGATCACGTCGCACGCATCCACAAGAGAAACCGAGATATACAGAAAGGCTATATCTTCTGCAGAGGCATGAAGAGAGTTGCCGTGAACATTAAAAATTGTTTGTAAGAAAGTTACAAGCCAGAGGAAGGAAGATAATTTTATATTAGTTATAAATTTATAATAGTAGTATTTCTCACAAACATTCTAGTCCGGCCAATTGCCTTATTGAGTTATTTTTAGGTTTTGTGAAAACCGTTCGGATTGCAAAGCTATATATATGAGAATCTTGTATTTCAAATTGTTAACTACCTCCCAGTAACCCGGGCAATACCTCTTCAATTTTTTACTTGCAATACCGATGCAATAATATCAACTCTATACTCCTAACATTTAACGATGCTTTATATGGAAATAAAGCAAAATCTAGAAGTACTTGCTTAATGTTACAGAGGGTGCCACCTGGTACTATGGTTAAGAATCGAGTTTTATTGTCTGCTACTGTACCCATACAAGAAAATAGAATAACGTATTTCAGGTTATATCGTTTCAAACCGAACCCACAACACGGCAATATCCTCCCGTTTTGTCAAAACTCAGCAGCTAGTCCTTTAACCGATTGCTATGGCAAATTAACCATTTCCATTTGAAATCTAAAATAGTACTTGCAAAGCAGCTTAACTAAATGGTGTCAAAACAATCTCTTTTTTGTACTTTATATATGTATATAGATACCCAGTAGAGCTTTCTCTACACATTGTATACGACAGTCACTCTGTCGTATCAGAGTGACTATCGTACAGTCACTCTGATATGTACGACTCTCTGTCGTACATATCATAAATCAATTCATAACACCACAGCGGTGACAACATTAGTTAGATCATATATACAAGGACATTTTAGCGGTATGGATGTATCAAGGTTCGCAATAGGCTTCCGTCTGACATTTTCATCAATAAAAGACGCCTCTCACGTGCAGCAAAACTATGGTTAAATCAAGGTCAGGGTATATCCGTTTAACAACTATATGCTAAACAGTTGTTACATATACCCTTACTGCAGTTTTACTGACCCATTTTTTCTTTTGCCTAAATGTATACACAAACTTAAATCTTATTGAATTATAAATTTATCCCACTAATAGAGCAAGATTTCTCCACCGGTATGCTATCTTTCGCTCTTCAAATACTCTACTATCTTTCAAATATTAAAGACATTTCGACTATTAAGTCTATTGTATCAACGCTATGATTACGAATACCCGAACATAATTTCATAAGACACCAGTTATTAAAATATAAGTTACTGTAGATTGTTTTCAGACAACTGTGGATTGTAAGGTGAACTCTGACACGAAATAAAGACAGTAATAGTAGCTATAACTGAACACCTAAAGGCAATATGATCGCTTGTTGTTGCTAGGGATTCAATTCTTGATTTTGAGGCTTTACTTTACAAAATAATGTACAATATTGTTATTTCAATACCTTTAACACACATACCTGTCGTGAAAAGGGACTATAAGTTTGTGAAAAATATAATATCGCAGTATAGCTGTAAGAATTTATATATATTTTTGATCGAGATAACACGAACCGATTTAACCCCTGCTTAACTTTCTGAAGTTGTTACTGTTGTACATGTGTTTGTTGTTTTCAAACTGGAAAGGATAACATAAAAGGAATTACGTAACGAATACATACGCAAGGACAGGGTTGTCCGCGACTAATGTTTGTGCGGGCCGCGACACGCTTTTAATCCATTACAATTACGCAAATTTTTAATGTTAGTTTTTCCTTGCCAAGAGTGAAGCGCCTTTATGATGAAAATAAACTATATAAAAGTTAGACGGATTCGAATAGAAAAGAAAGGACAAGGATAAAAATTTATTTAATTTATTGAAATTTGCTTGATCATACAACGTCATACTCGATATTGCCAAGTACTCATCATAGGTGGTCTTAGGAAATAAACGAATTTATTTAATAGTTTATAGTCCGTATATAATTTGTTACGACTGCAAGTGCCAGGCTTAGAACTAGTGCTTGTCAATAAATTAAATAAATTTTTGTCCTTGTCCTTTCATTGCTATTCGAATCCGTCTAAAGCAAATTTTCTTATGGTATATTGGTAAAAGTACATTATTTTATTTTTACGGTATACCAAGTAAATGAATTTAAATTGATAAATCAAGAAAACTAAATTTTACATTATAACCGTATTTATAATGTTATAATATATTTATAATAACAGCTAAGAATGTATGTATGTATTTGTGTCTGTGGCCCTCCAATCTGTACAGAAATTTGTCTTGGCTCGCGATCGCATCTGGTCTGGACAGATATGGATATGGGGATGGGTAATGGTTAGGAATCTCAATACAATATATATATAACTATAACAATATAACTTATAGAGAGTAAGTTTATATTTATTTTATTGAAAATAATCAAGTAAAAAAGGACATATTGTAAATGGTGTTTTAAATTGTGTAATATTGAATTTTATAAAATTATTAACGGCCTTCAACTGAAAATAAAAAAAAACAATAAACAATATTATTTTGGCTCAGTGGTTTCCAGAATTTGAACTTACTGTATGATGACAGGTCGATTTCATGAGGTAACTCCGATATATTAACATCGAAACGTTCTTGAACTTCATTTAAAATAGTTGTATCCATTTCATCGGATATAAAAGTAATTGCTAGTCCCTTAGTACCAAAGCGGCCAGCACGCGCAACGCGATGTAGGTAAGTATCAGAGTCTTCAGACATATCGTAATTGAATACGATATTGACTCTTTCAATATCCATACCACGTCCAAATAAATTGGTAGCAACCAAGATACGTTTCTGAAAATCTTTGAATTGTTGATAACGGTTAAGACGATCCTCCTGGGTCATACTGCGATGAATACCAATTGCAGGAAAATTTTGCTCAATCAACAATTGTGCCAACGCAACACAACGCTGAACCGATTTGACAAAGATAACAACCTAAACAATTGAAATAATAAATATTTATTTATGTTTAGTTAATTTTTTAATGAAAAATATTTATATATATTTAATTTAATTAATTTCAAAAATATTCATGGAAATTCCAATGCAAATATACCTGGTTGAATTCAAGAACATCAAGCAATTCAAAAAGTTTCTTATTTTTTTCATTCTCCTTCAACTTAATATAATGTTGTTGTAAGCCATGCAAAGTCAATTTGGCTTCATCATCAACGTAAACTTCCATTGGCTAAAATTTAAAAGACAAGTGTTCACAATTTTAAAATATAATATGTAGAATTTAATATACTATGTTTATATATTATAGTCAAATAAATTCCAGCGTTCTATTTCCTTTACTATAAAGCAATTAGTTAAGATTGTATTAACGAAAATAAATGTTCGTATAAACTACTTAGCTCTACTAAACTCCAATATTAATGTACTTAAGGATACACTATTACTAAACATTATAAGTTAAGTGACAGGCAATGTTACTTGAAGAAAGCCATTAGACGATATTTCCAATATGTGGAACTCCATTTTTTTCACCTCTCAGCGGATCAACAACAATGATAGCTTTTGTGTCTGCCTTTTAACCCAAAGCGATTGAATTTGAAGTCATAAGAATTTCCCAAATTGAGGCGAAATACGAGAAGTAGGCTCCAATAGGCTCGGTTCTCGAAATCGGCGCAAACGTTATTGCCGATATAAAGTTATGTCGAATTATTTTTATTAATTTAATTTCGTAATTATTATTTCTTAGGTTTTTCTTAGTTTGTCTGTTGTTTAAATTGTTTTTGTGTACCGAATACGTTCACTAATATTATCTCACATATTAGTATACCGAATTAATATGTTAAATCTATGTTAAACTGTTATATTGTCAAACTTTACCTTATAGACTAATGCTTTAATTTAAGCATTAAATTTTATCGTGTAATAACCCGAAATCGTTTATATATATGTGTGTTTTAATTGTTTTAAATTAAAGATTCATTTAATGGTGAATTTGTGGATCTTGGCTAGATAATCAGTAATATGTAAATAGTTTAATGTAATAAGTAGTAGTGTAATTTGTAGTAGAATAGACACTTTGATATTTACATCTTGCATGAATTTCTTGCAAACCGGACGAATTTCTCTGCTCAGTGTAGCGGAGAACATCATAACTTGCTTTAAATGTGGAGTACTGCGAAATATTTCTTGCACATCACGACGCATATCTAAAACGAATTATAAATACATAAATATAAATATAGATATACCTGCATATATAATTTTTATTATTTACCTAACTGTTCCAACATTTTATCACATTCGTCAAGTATAAAGTGCTTCAACTTTTTGAAATTCAACATTTTGTTTCTAACAAGTGCAAGAATACGACCAGGAGTTCCAACTACAACATGTGGAATAGTTGTTTTTAATGTTTCTTCATCCTTTTGTATAGCTAATCCACCAACGAAAACTCCTACCTATAATTAATAATAATTCTACATCAATCATTCAGTATATTATTTTTTCTGCCAAAAAACTTACATTTATACCAAGCATATATTTAGAGAAACGTTCATACTCCTTGCTGATTTGGAATGCCAATTCGCGAGTATGGCACATGACCAATACATAAGCTAAATCATCTATAGGTTCTATTTGCTGAAGTGTAGCGAGCACAAAAACAGCGGTTTTGCCCATACCAGATTTAGCTTGACATAATATATCCATACCGAGTACAGCCTGCGGAATGCATTCATGTTGTACTGAAAACATAAAATTATATATAAAATATATATATGTATATATTAAGAAAAAGAAACTAGTATATTTGTTAATTTCATCACATAAAATTACCTATTTATGATGAAATCACCTACATATATCAACTTTATATGGTGAAATGGATAAAATATGCTAATTAGAAATAAATTACCTTCCGAAGGATGTTCAAAACCGCAATCAGCAATAGCGCGCAATATTTCAGGCTTTAGAAGGAAATCACGAAAACCGGAAGAGTGAATAGAGACATATGCGCCCTTCACTTTCTTTCTCTTGGGCTCAATTACTTCTATAATTGAAGTTTCAAAGTCCTCATCTTCATAATCTAAAAGATCATCACTATCTGCCATTCTGAGAAAAAAAATTTTTTTTACGAAAATGATTTCAAAATGTTTCGTAATTTCTTAGCATTTTTACGTTTGCCATTAAATTAAAACTTAAAAGCTATAATTTAGTAATATATTTATGATATTGTTATTAGATTATATACTTTTTAATCATATTTTGCTCTAAAAATATACCTGGTATTTTTTATAAAATTTGTTAACACGACTGTCGACAATTCAGATTTCAAGTCTGCCGCTTTATGCAAAAAAAGTTTTCAACTACTTTAAAGAAAATGAAACAACTTTGGAGGAAACAGTAAAATGGAACAGAAGCACAACGGTTATTCTAAAACAGAAATGGTATAATATTGTTCAGTTGATTACTTTAATTGCTTGACAAAAATTTTTGGCATAAAATATTCCGTTAAATAAGTTAATTATTTTAAAGTTATTACAATGAATTTTCATAAAAATATAATATTAAATTTAAACCAACGCTTTTAACTCATCTCGGCATTTACACGGATCAAAAAGTAGCATATGTGGCTGTTATTGCAATATATTTATATATATATGTGTACATATTTTATGAAAAAGTTGATTTAGGCTTTTTCGGTGGCTTGCAAGTATCGCAAAAAATAGCAAGTTGCTGGCGTATACTGGCCGAAATATACGCAAAACAACAACACTATTTTCTCTACGTCGCCCAGAAAAAAAAAATGTTACCAACGCAATAATCGAACTATTGTGAACCGTCATTGGAAGTTCCAACGAATATTGCAATCATATGTCAAAAATTATATATAAACAAAAATTCAAACAAAATTCAAAAATTTCATAAATATGAGAATTTGGAAAAAAGAAAAATTTCAGAATTTTGTTTTGAAATTTCCAACATTTTTACCATTTCTTTTAATTTTGTGTTAATTTTACTTTTTAATTTAAATGAATTATTTATTTTTAGACAAAATGTAATTTGCTTGCATTATGTGCACATATGCAAGATTTGCTATTTGCCAAAACGTAACATTTGACAGACTGCAACAGTGATGCCAATGTCTCGCGTAGCCAATATAGGTCAGCATGCATTTTTTGCCACCATTTTTAAGCCACCGAAAAAGTCTTTTGTTGTTATTGAACGAAGACTTTACACAAAAGTTTAACTGCTCAGTAAAACTTATCTTAACGCTGGGGTAGTTAAGATACTTTACCATAATCTTCCCACTAATATTCTTATTCTAGCTCAGTTTAGCATCCACTTGCTTAATAACAATACTTTACTAAAAATTAAAAGTTTTGTTTTCCAAAGACGAGACGTATATTTCCTATAGGTGAATTTTCCGCAGAACTCGAAAATAACAACGAATTTTTTTTTCTGTGTACCGCTTTCGAGTTATATGCGAAAAACCGTTATTTTGACTTTTCTCAAAACATTACCTTACAAATAAAATTTTTTTTTGAAGTAACGATTTGTAAAAAGGGGAACAAAGGGGAAATTTCTTCTGAAATTCAAAAGATCAACAAAAACAACAAGTGTGCACCAAGCTAATATCAAAAGTATACTGCCCGAAGAAATTGAGGTTAAAACGCTAACAGAAGAAGCCACCTTGAAACTTAGATATTTCGATGAAATAACTACAGAAGAGGAAATAATTGCAGCATGGAATGACTCTTATTAAATCAATAAGAAACGTCCCTAGAGGTACCAGGATTGCTATAATTGTAATAGCAAAAAAGCGAAAAAAAATACGAGTTGGATGGACCGTGTCCTGATCATTAAAAAAATTCACTCCCAAGAGATGTTACAAATGCTTCGATTTTGGACATATGGTAAAAAACTGCCTGAGTACCAAAGACTAGTCTAAACACTGCTACAAGTGTGATGAACAAGACCGGCTCGCTAAAATGTGTAAAGTGTCCCCCACTGCCTACTTTGTAGAAGTGACCCAAATGTCGACGCTAACCATAGTACTGGAGGACCTAAACGCCGACGACGCTAAAAATATAAAGCCGATAGTGATTGCCTAGGCCGTTAAATGGGGCTCAACGTTTAAAAACACCAGGGATGAGTGCCTATTAGAGGTATTGGCTGCCTGGCATGTGTTGTTACTAAACTGCGGCCAAAAGGACACGTTTTCAAGAAACTGTAGGAGCTCAAAAATTGATTTGACATTTATCAGCGATTTACTAGCTAACTCGACGGTTTGGCAAAAGTCAAATACCTACACGGATACTGATAGCTAAGCTATTGTTTTTGAAATCTTTAAACGTTCGACAGAAGTCATCCACGCGGCATCCACCCCAAAACCAATATGGAAACATTCAACTTTGCACAAAGAAGCCTTTGAGACTTCAATGGACGACAGCCACCTAACCAGCAGTGCTAACAGTAAAGCAATAAAACTCATGCTGCATAACAAATGCATGTAACGCATCTATGGCAAAGAAATGTCGGTCGAATGGCAGACAGCATGTGTATTGGTGAACTGACCAAATTGCCGAACTAAAAAGGAAATGCAAATATGCACGGCGCTTATGTCAAAGAGCAAGGGGTTGCCAAAACTCTAAAGCGTTTCAAAAAGCCTATAAAACAGCAAGAACTAACTTAAAAAAGGCGATGACGAAAAGCAAGACAAGATACTATAATGAGATATGTGAGGAGGTTGAGAATAATCCCTGGGATCTAGGATACAATGTGGTTATTAAAAAATTATACAGCTACCAGCCACCACTTACAACAGAAGCAGTTAAGCTCTAAACAATAGTTGACGGCCTCTTCCCGCAGAGATCTCAAAAAACCTATACAGTACAAAACAGTGAGCCACAGAATAGATGCACAATAGATGCCCTTGAAGCCGTCATAGCCTTAGCAAAAGATACAAAAGAGACAAAGAGAAAAAGCAAAAGAGACCGCTGCTCCGAAAAGACAAAGAATATTGTATAATCATCACATTTGACGTCAAAAATGCATTTAACTGGGCGGACTGGAACATTATACTAGTAGCGCTCCACGGGAAAAACCGCCTAAAGTGCCTAATAGATCAATCAAGTCGAAAGTCATCTAGATAAGGTTCAACCAGTGAGTTCACATGGGGGCTCAGCCTTTCACATAATACCCTCAGTCCTCGCCTTTTTTTAAATACAGGACAATGAATACTGACATTCCAATCGTTGGATATATTTTCGTGTAATCATTTTCTGTAGATAGGCTGATGCTTGTTCCCTATCAGTATATCGCCGCCGGTTTTGAACAATTCTGAAGATCGTCAGTTGTGCTTGTTCTTTCCACATTTTTAGTACACTCTTTGTATCTGTAACTAGGTCACCATTTTCATCCTTACAGGTTGATGCTTCAGACTTAACACTTTGAGTTACACGGTTGACTTTTCGGTAAAACTTACAGGCATCGTTCTTGTTTCTACACACCTCCATTTCCTCTCGCTCGCACCTTTCTTGATCTCATTCACTTCATCTGAAGAGACGACTGTCTTCATTCCTCGCGTTCTTCATAACAATAGCCGGGCTACACTCCTCATTGTACCATTGGTTTCCTCGTGGAGAAAGTTAGAAACCAAAAACATATTCTGCATATCCTGCAGCGCATAGGGAGATATGTCCCCATTGACTGCCGACATTACCGAAACGGCAGGATTGAGTATTAAACAGGTTAGAAAGCTAATCGACAAAGACTTCAGTTGTGTCCCGTGATCACAGCTTACTGACATCAAGTTTTTTCTGTGTAAAGGAACGTATGTTATTGATGGTACTAAGTCATATCCACAGCTTGGCTGCGGCAAGGTAGTAGTCCGGGTCGATATTCACACCATGCAACAAATGTACGTCTAGCGTGACTTGCAACAGTCACGAAGTGTTCAGTCTAGTTTTTAATTGTTTTTATTGTTATCCTGTCATCATAGACAGAGTAGTGCAGAACGAAAAAGCTGCAACGAAACCCTAGTGGAATCGCCGAAAGTTACGAAGATGAAATCTTAAGTAAATCTTAGTAGGATATTTTGCTAGAAACAATAATAAATAATATATATATGAATATTACATAAATATATAATATGAATCTATTTCATAAATGACTAAAACACTGAATACATATTAAAGAACTGGGGAATCCTACGGCCCCAGAGCTAAAAGAAATTCTTAGCAATTACGTCAAAAAGCTTTTGAAATTATATATATAAATATTATATATATATATTATATATATATATAATGATGCCAATAATAATATTTCCTTTTATCTGAATGATCCGCTACACTCTAAAATTTTTGATATTATAAATTGTTAAAGTTAGTCTGTCCTTCGGCTTGCTGGTAATATATGTAATTCATTCCAAAAATGAAAAAAATAGAATTTGAAGATACGGCAGTTTATTTTAATTATTTTCTTAGCGAAATATATATCAATAAGTATCAATCAAATCTTCCAAAAATACTCGTAAACGGTTTAAGGAATTTTATAATAAAAATAATACATTTACAGAGAACGAACATCTGTACGCTCTCAGCTCATAGCTGAAGAAACTCAAGCAAAGAGCTAGACAAATCAGCCAGTTAAAAGCCAAAGGAGTAGCGAATGTTCATTAAATACTTCTAACGCAGTGTGTATTTGTACAAACATACTATACCTGTTTGCACTTGATAAAGTTGACTCTTAAGGTGGCAATGCCAACAACATCACTCGCACCTATACGCTATATAGCCATAGTGCTCTTCCTGCAGTGCTCGGGTTCTGCTGCGGATATCCTCAGAATTTTGAAAATTCAAAACTAAACATTACTAATGAAAGATACTGAATAGTCCAGTCTAGGATAACACAGTAACACTGACCCTGGCCATTGTTCAAGTTTCTTTTTCCATTCATTTGCAGAGTTTCAATTTGATAAGGACTCAGTGCTAGTAATGATTCAAGCAAGAAAAGGAAAAAAGAACTCCTCCGCAGTGGGAGGAGAGGAGACTGAAAAATCTAGTCTTAAAATAATGGTATCTAATTATTTCGATTTCACGTTGCCGACATGGCTCATAAGGTTCCCAGAACAGCCGAGTCTACGTCTTAGAGCCACTGTCGTTTTCGATGATCAAGCGTCGTTCGACATCTCCCAAAGGGGCTTCACAAGCAGGTATGTGTTTGTTGACATATGTCATTTATATGTGTTTTTACCGCTAAGAAGTCATCTTGCTTCTTATATTACTTCTAATGGCCAAATTTAAAACCTAACCCTTGTCCTGATAAACCAACCACTTCTACTTGGCATTGTTCTATCTGCAGCATTCCCATTCGCAGAAACCAAACTTCAAGTAGGTGCAACAGTTGCAATAACTGGTGTAACCTTCGTGATTGTTCAGATTTGTATGGAACCCTGCCCCTGGAAGAGCTTATGGTGCAAAAAAATCCTCTATGCAGACACTCTCTTTCTTCGTCCACCTCTGGCAACCCCATCTCCTGGTATCCTCCTCACCATCCACCACTTGGCTATGCACCGTATGTAATAGAGCATTCTCTATAAACATAATCTCTGTCCGATGCAACTCTTGCATCTCTCTTTGGATTATGCTCGCACCTTGGTTGGAATTTCGTTGGCAATTGATGCTATCTACCACCAATAATCCACTTCAATACCGGACACAACCGAAACGCACTAGCGTAGTCTCCCCTATCAACAGTCGTGCAATTCAACTGCAATGGCCAAAGAGCGGAAACTGTTTGAAATTCATGTTCCCCAACGACATCGCAGTAGCTGCATTGCGGAAGACAAAACTACAGCCTTATTCCCTTCCCCCCGTAGCCCCCCGTAGGTTTCACCCTTATTCGTAAGACCCACCCATGGGGCGCTGGAGGTGAAGAAACCTTCCTGTTCCAGGAATCAGCTTCAAATTGTGAGTATTCTCTGCCCCGTCCCCAGGGCAGCGCTTTATTACCGATCCTTTTAAATTTATATATGTCTAAACTCCCAAATCTCCTGAGAGATTCAGAGTCATAACGTATGTAGATGATTGCACAATGAGAGCACAGTTAAGCCTCAGTTCAATGTCAGTTGACCGTCTGGGCAATTATGGTGTCCAGGGTCTTGAGAATGACTCTACGAAAGGAATGAGGTTACGTAGAGTCTACCTGTCTTCGGCGATAAGTTCTGCGGTGATCGATTTTCGCAGTTTAATGAGATGGAGGGTGGAAGCATTAAGTGGAACTTGATAAACACACAATTTAGGAGTATGCTCATCAATAGTAGAGGCGAAAATGCTTTCAAGAGCAAGGGCAGCACAATAAAGTAGGAGTCATGTTCCTGTGTTCGGGGACGCTCATCTGAAGAAGGAGCTGGTCAAAAGTGAAATTGAACTTCGACCAGTTGGTGCTAGGAAAGTTGAAAAAAGTGCGAGGGCAGGCATGAGTAGCTCCACAGTCGCAAAGCGCAGGGCTTACCACTTGGTGGTCTGATATGCTGGCTATGACATGGCTATGATGGTTATGGGTCATCAAGGCAGGGGAGCAGGCAATTGTCAGCCAAAAAGAAGTCAATGATGCTATTGAGGCGAGTCGGAACCGAAGGAGCTACCACACTTAGAATAGGCGCTGGCTTGGGGGCACTAATAGTGTTACAGACGGAAACGGCGGCAGGGGAATGGGAGACAATAGTTGAGCCGGGGGTTGCCCTCAATCAGTCCTAGCGAGGGAAAAATTTTCAGCTCATAGCCGGGCGTTGTCAGTCTTTAGAGCTTCAATAGATTTCGAAAGCGAGGCGAGTTGCCCCTAACCCGCGTTCGGTGCTGGGCTTTAAGGGTTAGAATTGGATCGACAATCCTGGGTTGCTTCGGTGCGGGGGGTAGGGCAGGAGGCCCGTATATCAGAGCTGACCCCACAGCATTGTGAGTTTTTGTCACCACCCTCCATTATAGTAAGGGGCTAGTAAAAGACTGAAAAATAATGAAGAAAAGAAAAAAGTTTGATAAGAATATTAAAAGACATCACATGGTCCCCGTCACCATCCTCCATTGTAGTGAGGGGCAAGTAAAGGACTCGAAAGAATTAAGGAAAAGAAAAAAGTTTGCTAAGAACAAAAAATTAACTGGAAAATGGGTGAAGAAATAAAGCAAACAAACAAATATATTTGATTAGATTATTATAAGTATAAATATAGATATAAACACAAATATAAATATAAGTACAAATATAAATATAAATACAAATATAAATATAAATATAAATACAAATATAAATATAAATATAACGTAAATATAAAATCGTAATTAGTAATTGTAATCATTAATTGTAATTTAATCTTTAGCGGTGTACACTACTGAGTGTCCCGCACATGTGGTCAGATCATCTTATTCTATTTTATATTCATAAGAAATACTGAATGTTCTTTTACAGATTGTGTTTATATAATAAATAAACAAACAAAAAAAATAAAAAAAAAAATAAAAAAAAAATAAAAAAAAATATAAATATAAATATAAATACAAATATATAGATATACAAATATAAGTATAAATACAAATATTAATATAAATATATAAACACAAATATATAACTGTAAATGAAAATAGTGAAGGGAATTTTTAGCAACAAACACTCACCGAAAATAAGGATTTGTTGTGAAGGTCAAGTCCTTGTTCTTCGATTTTTTGTCAATAACACCAGAAGAGAAAAACACTTAAGTTGTTGGCGAGTTCTGACTGATTAAAACTTATATGCCAAAACCCAAAACCAGGTCGGATGTAAAATTTCCCTTTTCACACTACAAAAGGCAACAGTTGACATCATACTATTTCTTACGAAAATATATTCTTTGTATTCTTGAATCCATTTTATTAATGGAACCATTTATGAGTAGTAACAACTTTCTAAAAACTAATCAGTAAAAACTATTTATCAAAATAGTTTTGCATGCAATTGAACTTTTATCTTTTTGTCGTGTCTATCAATTAGATACAATAAATAGTAAATAAATTTAAGATTAAAAAAAACCATTTGAAGTATTTTTATAACAAGCAATTATTTATGTATAATTTATTTTGTTGTTAAACTTAAAAAGTTTTATAGATTTTTTAATCACAATTCGTGTAATTTTCGTTATGTAATTTTTACTAACATATTAAATAATAAGAAGTTCTGATTGAATTAAATAATAAATTCTTTATAAAAGATCATAAAAATAATCTAAGCCCTGGCCCAATTCCCAAATGGATATGCCAACTCCTAGCTCTTGGGCTAATTTAATGCGTTCATTAATGGAATGTAATGTAGGATAAAAAACATAGTGACGGCCACTTGGTGTTCTGAAAACAAATTATGTATTTGTTGGTATATATTAAGAAAACTAATAGTTACTCACCTCACTTCAAAAAAGTTCTCAACTGCGTTTTCATCATAACTTAGCCGCTTCTTAAGATATTTCAGCAAATTCAAATATTGATTGCCAACTATAGGCCCTCCACCATCTGGAGTAAAGTCATTCCCATACATATTCAGACCCAAAAGTATTTTATGCCTTTTATAGTTTACGTCGCGACAGCTGTTTGGAGCAATTTTTTCAATTGCTGCTCGAATCCATGGTAACGGTGAGTTTGCACCTAAAGGTAAGTAACGAGATGAGATATATTATGATTTTAAATAATTTACAGCATTATACTGATTTACTGTAAATCTGTAGTAACTGCTGTTAACGTCGTTGCAAATCACCTATGTGTTATACATTTTACTGATATATGAGGAATGTTTTAAAAAAGAAGATCTGATTTTTGGATGAAACAATATTCAAGGTTAAGGTCATGACTACTTGTCCTTTTAGACCAATAACTAGTTAGATAAATATTTAATCACTTAAGTGATCCAACATAAAAATTTAATTATTCTACAAAACGCTTACAATTGAAAGTTAGTTCTTAAAAACAATTCTTAAAAATAAAAAGATTTTTTCGGTGTTAGTTTTGTTAAGTCTTGAGAAGTAAAGATACAACCAGGTGTCTCTAGTCGATGGAAGTGAGACCATCTGTCATTAAAACATTTAAAAATTAGCGTTAACTTTGTAAGCAATTATCTGAAATCTAAAACTTATATTTAAAGTAATAAATATTCAGAAATCTTATTAAAAGCTAATAAGCAATTCAACGGGTAACATAGTGAATATAATAGTGATTTCAAGAAAATTCTGATTTTTACCTATGGTGCACGAACCTTAAGATGACACTCAACAACAAATAATTAAATTAATTAAATTCGACGAACGTATCCAGTGAACAAGCAACAAATATACCAGTTAGTTGGGTCCTTCACAAGAATAGTAAACGGCACTTCGTCGTCTGTACTAGCGATTAGTGCCAGGACATATATCTAACCAGTCTTGAATTCCAGTCTTGAAATAGAAAACATTCTTTGTAAGCGTATAATTAGATCATTTCTACAGTTTCCTCACTTTTCTATAGTTTTCTCATTTCTGAATATTGAACTGTAGTTTATATTCGGCAATAAAAAACAAGAATGTCAAAAGCTAACAAATTAAAATTAGAAAATCCTAGATTACTAAAATTTGTGTGGAAAAATACAACTGGGACTAAAATCTCAAACATTTATAATCATATAAAATTTTATTACATCGAAGAGCACTTTTTGCTATATAATGCAGAAACAAGAATTTAAGAAGTACAACACACTTTAAATAAAATCCTATTAAATGTTTATAAGGTCTAGCCTTAAACAAAAGTATCCAGTCAATTTTAAAATAATACTACATTCTTGATTTGGACAAAAATATGATAAGAATGATAGTAATGAAAGTATAAAAATTAATATTTTCTATATTTTATATAAGAATTTTTTAATATTTTTAACTTCTAACAGATCAGATCAAAACTGCTAATTATAGTCTAATTAATGATTCTGGGCTTTAGTGCTTTATTGAGTAAATTTTAACAAAACATTTAACGATTATGTCATGCAGAATATTTTAATATATTGATTAAATAAAAATGTTTTGGAACTAACATAAATGATATTGTAATCAATGAGCAAAGTAAATAAACAGTCACATTATGAGGATAGAACTTCTAAGATATTGTAAAATCTTTTTATTTATCTTAAACTATGTAATATTAGAATGAAGAAAAATTTAAAACATACCTGGTCGTTGTACGCTTGAGTAATCATATGTCATAAGAGAAAATGCATAAACATCTTGATACAATTGATCCAAGTGTTTTTCTTGAAATAAGTTTGGTAGTTTTTCTCGAAATGGTGGAATTACAAGAATTAAGTTTAAATTTTTGGTTTTTAAATACTTAGCTAAAACCAAATATATGTATCATTATATTTAAAGAAGTAAAAACTTATTTCTCACCCATGTCAAGCACAATTTTATAAATGAACTGATCATCCACACGACCGGCAAGTTGTGACCACAATTCCAGCACAATTCCATCAAAGTCATGCTCTTTGCAAGTATTTGCAATTAGCTCATTCACAATTCTACGTTCTTTTTCCAGGCTCAGGAGCAGAGAGATATCACGTTCTGTAAACTTATCAAACAACAACCGTGGGAAAACTGTTTGAAAATAAAATGTGAATTTATCAGCTGAATTTTTTATTATAGAAACCTTACACTTTATGGAGCTATTGCCGCTCTTTTTTTTACGTCGTACATCACGCACCCATGATGAATCAATGTCATGTTTACCGGCAAGTTCGTATAAATCACCTTTTTTTATTATTTGAAACCATACCGGTGATATGATATCAAATTTTTTTCCGAATACCTTCGCTATATCATATCCATGAGAATTCCACTTAAACAGTTTAAATACAATTAGAATTTGAACAATTTAGCATATAGCAACGGCATCTTACCGGTGTTACATATCCCAGCACAGTGTTATTAAAATTACGTGTGGACACGTCTTTGTAATAAGCTGCGTTATGTACTAATATATCTTTTGATGATGGTTCCTCCTCAATTAAGTTACGATCAAATACATTATCAGACTGTGGGCCAGTTAAAACTTTTAGCTCCTTCCTATTTTTCTTGATACGATCGCCCGGCGAAATTGTGCATTCAGCAAATGTAACAACGAACAAAATAATAAATTTTAAAACAATAAAAGCTTGCATCACTGATTGTTAGTCTTTTTTATAAAACGTTCCGAAATCTTATTATTTAATAATAAAAATTTTACATTGTTATTGAAATCAAAATTAAAAATTTTTTGGAAATGTCAAAATCAAACAAATTTCGGCTGTTTTATTAATAACAAAAAAGTGTTGAAAAACGTATTGTTTTGCTATAATAACTTATAGACTTTAAACACTGTTTTATTGCAAGAATTTAATATATTGCAATTTGTCAAAATAGATATGCAAGCTAGTCATTTTAATTATTTCGTAGTTTAATTTTAGCGCAAGTGAATGCAATCTTTCGTGATTCTAGTATCACAATAAATTTGCATTTATTGCCAAAAGTATTCCGATTAGTGTTATTTAATGGAATACATTACTATAAATAAATAGTTTAGCTTGAACGGACTATGAAGATGTTTAAGAGGTTGTTGCTCTTTGCGTTGCTCTATAATAATATTAGCCATAATTTTTTCTTTTAGAGTAGCAAACAAAATCGAGCAACTTACGAAACAAAACATGAGAAGCAACAACAATACTCTTAAAATCTTCAGAGTTAGATTTTACTCGCAAAAAAAATTTACGATTTAAGTTTCAGTGCAGCCAAATCAGTCTATTGTGAATGTTCACCGGAAATATGTTGCAAAAATCGACTCATCTGTTAAAATTTTATGAGCATATTATTTACTAATAAATTCAAATACATAAAAACATAAATCAATTTAAATATATGAGATAGAAATGCTTATCACTGGCTTCTAGTATTCATTTTGTTTTATTAAAATTAAATTAATTAATTTTAGTGTTTAGAATTTTTATAATTCATATTGTACAGAACACAAAAAACATGTGTTAAGAAAATGCATTTAACTTATTTTAAAAGTGATGCCAATTTGTTTTAACCAGACTTAATACTGTTCTTTTAAAACTCTAAAAACAAAAATTACGGCTATTGTTAAGGTGCGAAAACGCAACAAGAAAATATATAGAAAACATAAATACCTAAAAACAATTGATCAATTGCTAAAACTAATTGTTCTTTTCGCATTGTTTTATTGTGCTTTTGCTTTTTTACAAAACATTTTCAAATGAAATTTTGTGTTTCTTATATACAAAATAAAACCATTTATAACAAATTTTTGTTTAACATACCTATAATAAATTTAGAAGTAAGTCGCTTTATAGGTTTTTTTTTTGTTTTTTTAAATAGACTTAGCTTAAATTTCAGAAATTATTTTAGAAAATTACCCACACAATTTTGTTAATTAAATGTATCTATTATTGATAATGCTGATTTATCAAAATAGTGTGAAATGTTGGTTTAAATTAAGATTTGCTTACGTTCTAAAGACAAAAATAAAAAAATATAAATTATTCTGTTCATGATCTTCTTTATAAAAAGAGTTAAAGAAAAATAAAGCTATGTAAAGACAATACGGAATTGAGTATCCTTGCTATTTTTCGAAATTTGTGTTTAATAATATCTGATACAAAAAATAATTACGTCTGCTAAATTATTTTATTGAAAATGTTTAATGCAAAATTCAAACACACTTCTGCGTTTTAATTGTAATTAATATTATATTATTTGTATTGCTTTCGACAATTCTCATATTATAATAATTGCCACTTATCACACTAATTGCTTGACATAAAAAATAAAATACACATATTAAAAGTAGTTCTTCAGTTTCCCTGAATTTGACTATCGAAGATAGTAGAAATATCGGAAAAATATTTTAATAAAATATTTGATTTGTTTTTAAATACAAATAATAAATTATAGTTTTTTGATTTCTATTTAAATGACCAATAAGCCCGGTAATAAATCATCATATTAAAAGTATATATATTATTATAACCCAGCCATAGATAATGACAGACTACTGTGTAGTTTTTTAATATACCTTAAAAAGTGTAATATTTGTATTTATTTTCCCCGGTACACAACTGTTAAATATTTATTCCTTTTAAATAATGTATCTTTGAACTGTTTTTTATTCGATAAAAAGATTTTAATAAAACAGTTTTTTAATTTTTGTACGCATATATACGTATATAACGTATATTTATATATTTTTACGTATACATATTTCTATTTTATATGTATATATAGTTTCGATTTATATAAAAATTGCCTACGCTCCAAAGTTTTTAGCTTCTTCACCAGGGTTAGTGATGATTATAATTCTTTATATAATATGTATATTTCTTTCAAATATGCATAGATAATTTTTATATAGGAAATAACTATATAAATAAATTAACATACATACATAAACTGAATAACTGTTTTGGTTTTAAAAGTACAAGCGATTTATAGTTGGGTTCAATACTAAAGACGTTGATATTGATAATACGAAATTGATTTTTATAATAAGAAATGTCGGTACATTCATATGTATTCTAATGAAAAAAGTCGCTAAAAAAATTGACTATTAAAAAGTCAAATCAGCAAATCGTGATTATTTACTAAAGTAATTAAATCAAAAATTGGAAATATCCTTATACAAAGTGGATTTACGTCCATGTTGTTATTATATTTTTAATTTCCAATCAAACTAATCTAAGAAGAAACCCAAAAAACTAAACGACAAAAAGTACAATTTTTTTTATTAAATATTTAGAGATATTGTTTTGTATTTTTGACAAAAAAAAATTATACGAATATGGTAGTAATTCGAATAGCAATAGAATAAAATTTTGGAGAACGTACACTATTTTAGTGTTTCGGATATGTCACTTTCATTTTTAGTGTGCTATTTGTGGTTCATTAACACTGAGATAAGGTTCTGTTTATTTTCATTTACTGTAAATAATAGATAATAACTATTAGGTCTGTTCCACGAGCTACTCGTAGTAACTTTGAGTAACAATGTGTATACAGGAGTACGTATTTGCCGCTGGCAAATTTTCGAGTAAATTAGAGCATCTGAGAGAGCGTAACATCCCTGTCGAAATTTGAAAATGCTACACAGACTTTACTCGTACATTTTATTTTAAGTAAAATTTGTGTGATGTGTGAATCAGCTGTTTACTTTATTTGCGTAGCACTGGTGTTCTCACCAGACCTTACACAAATCTGTAAAGAGCGTAATTTGGCACTTCATTTGTGTCACGCTCTCAATTTGTACTTTACTTGTGTTTTATTTGTGTTTTACTACGTGTAGCTCGTGGAATAGACCTATTATGTATACTGTATAATTAACATAAAGAGCTATTAATACATTGATCCTAAAAGCAAGCAAGCAATCGACACATGCGTTCCACAAAAGTATGCTTATATTCTGGTGCTCAATACCATTGGTGAAAAATACACAAAAATGAGATTTTTCAAATATTTTTCATCCACTCCATTCCACCTACTTGAGCTAAAATTTTACTCGACCTGTTGGAATACCTCCAAATAAATTTTTTCCGTGCAGATTTTTTTAAAATAAGATCTATATTTTTTTTTGGTAGGTGGAAAGCATAAAAAGCCATCGAGTAAGATTATTCTAATCTACAAAAATCACTTCTTAAGAATGAACAATAAAAATTTCAGTAATTTAACCTTAAAAATCATAGTACAGAGAAATTCGTTCTAGGTCTTCAGCGAATAATGGAGAATGCTTGCTTAGTATTATCTAGGAGATAATAATAATATACCAATTGATTTAATTGAAGATTTATGTTGCAATCATAACCCACAGCTGATAAGTAACAGATTAAATCATCATCAAAAATGCTATTAGAGGACTTTAAAATATGTTATATTTAAAACACAACATTAAAATGACCAGTTACTGAAGAAAATTCATTCCCGATATTAAAAATATGGATCCAATATTTTTTTCTGTTTTTTATTGCATCAATAGGTGTTGAAATCTAGACTAAAGAATATTTTACTCAATAATCTTAATTTTTGTACTAGTTACTTAAACGATTCCATTATAAATTTCATAAGTTGGGGAGTATTATTGTTCAATGCAACATTTTAATATATTAAATTCTGAAGAGCTTTTTCAGCGTAAAAACCTTAAAAAATGAACTTATGGAATACGGACAACTTCCGTTGCTATGAGATGAACGTAAAAATGTTGTTATAATGCAACATACAAATATACACTATAAAAACACACTATTCTACCAACAAATATCTGGAATGCCAAAATACTAGGAATGCCGGCATATAAAGTAGGTGAAAATAATTGAAATACTTGTTTTTATGTCATACTCAAATTGTTCTTAGTATTAGTGTTCTTACTATTTAAGACTAAAAAAAATATTTTTCAGTTTTCATATTTTCTTTTATTTTAAAATTTGTTATATACAAGGATAATATATCCTAGCGCTAAATGTTAATGACGGACTAAATAAAAATTTTAATAAAAACGCAAATTGAGAACCACATTTTCAAGTCAAATAAAAAATGTATAATAAAGTATTTGCATTTAATAAACACATTTGGTTGTCAGTGCTTCAAATATAATTCAACACAACGAACACAACGAGCTGCTCGAGAATATTCGAATATAATTGCTATTCTAGCATTCACTATTATATGTAAAAGTAAAAAATCAAGAATTATATTACCTGCTCTAGTTTGAGCAGCGAATTGTACACCCTCAAGCAGCTGATATAGCTTCAAGCAGCTGATACAGCTTCAAGCAGCTGATACAGCTTCAAGCAGCTGATGCAGCTTCAAGCAGCTAATGCAACTTCAAGCAGTTGATGCAACTTCAAGCAGCTAATGCAACTTCAAGCAGCTAATGCAACTTCAAGCAGCTGATGCAGCTTCAAGCAGCTGATGCAACTTCAAGCAGCTAATGCAACTTCAAGCAGCTAATGCAAATTCAAGCAGCTTATGCAACTTCAAGCAGCTGATGCAACTTCAATCAGCTGATGCAATTTCAATCAGATGATGCACCTTCAAGCAGTTGATGCAGCTTCAAGCAGCTGATACAGCTTCTAAAAGTACTAAGCATTTAAATTGTTCGATCTGAATGGAATTCGAATATACCCAAGCTTCTCCAGCATTGTCCTGCTTAAACAGTTTGAAACACTAACGTATAGCGTTCGTAGTATATAAAATATAATTACAATTATGATTAAAATTAAGAAAAGGAACCAAAAATTTTTATTAATTTTTTTATATTGACTTTAAGTGGTCCGTAAAAATAAAAACTTATTTGAACCATAAGTAATTTGTATATATGTATAACAGTTGAATATTGACTTGTTTGTTACATATTAATTTTTTGTTAGGTGTTTTAAATTTTGAACTTACAAACGATTAAAAAAAGTTCATCTTCTATCAACACACCCCTATCAATCAATATATAAATATATATATAATTATTTTTAACATAGTCAATTATTGTTTAATGATATATATTTGAAAAAGTTTAATAATGTTTTAAATGCAAAGGCAAATATTTATGTAGTTTCATATTTTTATAAAACTTTTACTAGTTTATTGCTTAATTTATAATCTGTACATATCCATTTGTAATGCAAAATTTGCAATTCTTCAAAACTTAAACAAACTAAAAATTTTATATTATTATTATTTTATTCTAGCATGATTCTAAATTAAATGTAACTAATATACCGAAACTTTTATGATTAACAGAACATTTCGCTCTCATATTTCACTTTTCATTTTGTTAGAAATAATAATAATTTCATTGCGATTTATGTAAGTGTTACACATATCGTATATCATATCTTAATTAATAAAAACAATGGTATAAAAGAAATTAAACAAAACTTATAAATATTAAATTTACAAAAAAAAGTAAAAATAAATGAATATTAAAAATTATAAAAAAAAAATTTGTGTTTAATATTAAATTTAATATTGAATAAAATTAAATATTATATATTAAAGAAAATAAAACTTTTTAAATAGCTAACGTAAAATATATACAGTTTAAGTGAAAAAACATACATATATAACACAATAAATGTGTTAATATGTATTGTATAGACATAACTTAATTTTTCGATACTTGGTTCAGTTTGTTTTACAAATAAATTAAACTTTCAATTCTTCATATGTATATAATATATAATATATAACATATAAATTATATCCATATGTTATAATATACAAATATATTTATATGATTCTTAATTCGTTGAAATCAAAAAATTTATACAAAAACGAAAGCTCTCAGAAGAGGTTTGGTGTCTTTTACATACTAAAGTTACAAATATGATATTTTTTAGATACATGTTTAAAAAGTAGATAGAAATGCACAATGGCTGTTAAATGTACATAGTACAATGTTATTGTTAAAAAAGATATTGATATATTTGTATGTATTTGAATTTGAATGAATGTATGAATTCATGTACGAATTCATATAATGGCATTTACTGTTTTAACTAAGCTGAAGTATTCAAAAAAAAATAAACTTAATAATAATGTAAAATAAATTAATCTCAATATGTTGAGGTTTCAACTAAATATCGACAAATCGCAATTAGTAGGGCTAGATAAAGAATTTGAATTAGAATTTGATAGCACAACATTAACCGTTGGTTCTGTGGAGCTCTTCTTTGTTAACATATTCGATGCTTTTTGATTTTTCTGCATTTGTTCATAATACATTCTACGTTTTTCCGCTGAAAGATTTGTTAAATTGAGTAGCGTACGTCGTCTTTCATAGAATTCACGCACCTTCTCGTTTGACTTAAGTACAGGATAATTTATTTCAGGCAAACCATTACTAACAATTAAGTTATTTTGTTGATGGTTATCTAATTGTTGTTGCTGTTGTTGTTGTTGTTGTTGTTGTTGTTGTGAAGATGAACGTGAGTTCTTCCCCTTAATTAAATCTTTTATGAGTTTCGGTGTTACTATACCATGTTTATAATCACTTAATTTTGGTATTAGAGCTGCGCGTCTATTATTTACCGGTTTACATTTTATGCCTTTATAAACAATTCCATTCCGTGCGTTATGGTTGTTGCATTGTGAGGTAGGTGCTGTTATCGTTGGCGTTGAGGAACTGGAAGTTGATTTCGTTTTACTGGAAGTGCCGTTGTTAGCAGTATTTGTATTGGCTATAGCATTTGAGTTCCCGCTTGATTTAGGCCGCGATGATTTTGTCAACACTGTTATAGGAGATGAAGATGTTCCATTTGGTGTATTGTTTGCAGAATTTGTAGTTATATTGACTGTTATTTCGACAGGAGAGTTTTGTGATTTATGCTGTGATAGGTTTGGTGGATTGGTAATTGTAATGCTACTTATTGAAAATTCACTGGATCCTGCATTATTATTCCCAGAAGTTTTTGCAGTTGAATTATTATTACTATTTTTACCACCATCCTTTTGTTTAGCATTAGCCGAAGTTGAGTTAAAGCGATTAGTATTCGTTGAACTTGATTCTGATAATCCATTTATATTATCATCAAACGCTGCAGGTCTATATTTAGATAATCTTGTTGATAGCGAATCTTTCCAAAACATCGGTGTATTGGTTACAGCACATTTTACTAAACCATACGAGTTACCTTCGCATATGTGAGGTACACCTAATAAACAAATAAGTAAACATAAATAAATGAGTTAATTAATTTTTACACATTTTTTAATAAATACACTAATACATATGAAAAAGTGAAAGAAGTAGGTTTTAAGTGCACTGAATATTGATGGAAACCACCAACAAATTAGCTAACTGTATTGTAATCCGTTGTCAAATCAGTGTGATTGGGAAAAATGGAATTGTGCCAAAAAATAATATTTTTGATTCATTTAATTTTATTACTAATGTGGGTCTCTGATTTTTCCATTTTTTTTTAAATTTTATTCAAATGTTTTTTATTTGAAACAAATAAATATTTTGATTGAGATTTTAGTTGATTTGGATTTGGTTCCTAATGGAAATTATATTATATATTATATATAATATATATATATGTATATCCAAAGACAAATCAACACATAATTTGCACATATAGTGTATTATATTATGTTGTAATAAGTTAGATAATATTTAAGTTTGGAATTAAACTAACCATATTTAAGTTCAGAACCACCGGAGGAGCGTTCAGTGACATTTGTTACAACTGGAGGTTTTGAGTAGGTTTCAATATGAGTAATGTCGAAATCAAAAAGTTCTCCAGACACTTCTGGTGGCAAAGTTATATCATCAATATTTATATATTCATCTTCAAGATCTTCTTCGTCTTCTTCTATAGCTTCTTCATCATCCGAAGTAAGATCAATTTGATCGATAATTTTATAATCTGAAAATAAGTCACTCAATTTTTCTGAACTTTGATGGCTCAGTACAGCAACTTGATTAGAGTCAGTTATTTCATATATTAGCTGTTCGTCTGTAGGTATATAAAGTGGATGAGCTGTACGACCATTTTCTATAATGCATGGTTTTATGACCATGTCATCACCATCGTTAACTGTATCATCTGTTAGAGATGGAATGCTAAATATTTGAAAATGTGCATCAATTGTGTTAATGGGTGTTTCATTTATTTCGCTATTAATCGTTGTTAGTGGAGAGTTTGCATTATCCGAACAGAAGCTGATATTATCATTACTTTCTGATTCGGAGGAAAAAGGTAAAATCAAACCAGTTGGTTCCTCAAATCCGTGTGGAATTGATATACTATCATCGAAACTCATTGAATTTTGTTCAAACATCAGATGGAAGCTCAAATCGTTGTTAGTTTTTGTATCAGGCTTTTGGTCCGGTATTAACTCTATCTCTGGTTGTTGAATTTCGACTTGCTCCAATTGTTGTTGCTGCTGATCTATTAATAGTTGTTCAATTTGTTGTTGCTCCAATTGCTGTTGTTCTAATTGTTGTTGCTCTAACGAATCGAATTGATTTTGCTCGAAATGTTCTTGTTGCAATAAAAACACACGTTCTAGTTGTTGTAGTTGTATATTGTCTTGCTCCATTTGTTGATTCAGTATTAATAATAATTCTTCATCTATAGCATTAGTTATTGGAATTGGGTAATCTACTGTTAAAGGCGTATCTTGGTCGTTTATAGATATTTTAAAGCTATCATCAGTGCTGTTTGGTTCAAAATGTACATACTCTTCTGGCTGTTGTTGTTGTTGCAATAAGTGCGAATGTTGTTGAAAAAATGTGGATTGTAGCTGTTGAGGTATATGTTGGATTTGTATGGTATGCTGTTGTTGTAAAGGCTGCAGAGGTGGAACTTGTACTTGAGTTTGGGGCTGTAAATTTTGAGTAACATTTGGTACATTTTGAACTTGTAATGGTGATGGAGGTTGTATATGATATTTATATTGCGGAGATTGTACTTGTTGCTGGATTTGTTGTTTTGTATGCTGCGGTTGTTGCTGTTTTGGGTTTTGTTGCTGGCAAATGATGGCAAAGTCGCTGACACTAACCTGCACATGTTGCAGTTGTTGCTGGTTTTGTTGTTGAGGATTTTGTTGTTGTTGACTTTGTTGACTCTGGCTTTGTTGTTGCTGTTGGCTTATAATCATGGCATCTGTGTGGTCCTCAAAACGCATTCGTTTGGCTGGTGGTTCATGTATTTTATTCTGTTGAGTTGACATATCAAATGCATTTTCATCAAATGTTATATCGGGTGTACTATTATTCAACAACTCATTAATAAACTTAGAGTCTAACATGTCATCCAAAGTTAGCATCGATGTATCTTCAGACTGATTAAATTGCTGCATTGTATCTTGTGATCCTTCTTCTGATGTAAAATTAAGTTCTGGCAGTAAAGTTAAGATATCAGGTAAAGCGTCATCATCCATAGTCAAATTATCAGTTCTGCTTTCACTTGATTGTTGTGTTTTATTATTATCAGTTTTTGAGTTGCTTGATCCTGTTTCCATATTTGAATACTCAGTCGATTTTTCCGGTTCTCTTGTTATTGATTGCACAGCTTGTTGAATCTCACTTGCATTTTGAACATATTTCGACACTTCTTCAATTGTTATTGTTTTTTCGGTTCTAATTTTAGGTCCATTTATAATCGAAACAGATGTTATTATTGGTTTTTCTGGTAAGTCAGCTGTGTTCACACTTCCGCGATCACATTCCGCACTGGAATTTGACGTTAAGGAATCAACAGACTCTTGTCCAATGAATAAAGGACTTTTGATCTGTTAAAAATATAAATAAGATATTAAAATAAATAAAAAATAAAAAAATAATGCTAAAAGCACCTTTTTTTTAGATGATATATTGCTTGTAGAAGGCGGATCACCGGTAAATTTTTCTTTTGGTTCTTTTATTGTAATTAGCCCCGCTGGCGAAAAAGGGTACTCATTCGATACCGAGCTTGTTTCTGATGGTATAGAACACACCATTTTTGGAGTTGGAGGCAGAGAACACGATGAATTAGACGACGATGAAAAAACTGTTATAGGCTGTATTGTATCTAGCACTGAAGATAATTTACTTCCACCAAGATTACTAGCCATGATTGCATCATTCGAATTGGAACTAGTTGAAATTGATGAAGTGACTATAGTAGATGCAAGAGGTGAGCTTACACTTGATGATTTTTTCGAACTTTTGCTAGAACTTTGTGATAATTCTAAATTAATTGATGAAGAAGGTGAGGAATGCGCGCTTGGTGTAAAATGACATGATCGATGTTTCGATTTACTACGAGATCGGCTACTGCCACTAGACATGCTACTTGAACTAGAAGAGTGTTCACTGCTTTTATGACGACTTGTAGTGTATGTCGAAGAAAGAGATGACGAAGACGCATTGGAACAGGTTGACAGTGTGCCTGAAGATGGTGAACCAGCTATATCAGTATTAATAATATCACGCACAATTTCTTGAGTGGCATCGGTAGGATGTAAATTCAAATGCTCCCCTGGTACCATTTGCATAATTTTACTAGGTACTGCACTCAATATATTTGGATGGTGTAAAGTCATATGATTTTTCAGACCAACTTTTTTATACACCCCTGAGCAATAATTACAAACAACAACTTCCAAAGCTGTTTGCTTGGGCGCTATACCATAATAATGCATGTCATTACCATTTAGCCGTTGCACTTGTTTCATTTTATACGGAGACCGTTGCTTAACCTCTGCAATAGTGGACGGTATTTCCTCGATGCAACTCTTCACAGTGCTGCTTGATTCGAAAAAGTGCGTCCATTTCTGTCCTCGTAACTTGTAAAGCGGATTATCAACAAAACTAATAGACTTTATGGGTCTCGAGGAACTAGACGAACTACTTGAATGAGATGAAGATGTAGTTGCCTGAATTTGATTCGACACATCAACCTGTGTGCTGACTTTTGGAATACTTCCTGTTGTTGAGCTTAAATTAGGCAGAGGTTTTACAACTTTTTCCAAGTAAACAGAAGCCTCGTTCGTTGGCATTTTTATAAATAAGGCAGTTAGTGCCTGTAAACTTTCTAGGTCTGACAGGTTTTTCAGTTGAACAGGAACAAAGAGGTTATTAGCAAGCTTTTACGATAAGAAGCTAGCTAATCAGCACTTAGTTAAAATATTTATCACTATGACAATTCGTAGCAGAATAATAAAATATTTTTTATTAAATGCTAATAGTCGCTACTTTTTGTTTAAAAAATATCACACTTGTATCTTAACCGAGTTGTTTAAATCTGTAAAAAAATGGAAACGATAACGAATATTAAATAATTTGCAATACAAAATATTTTTCGTTTAAATTATTTATTTTCTGAAAAATATATGAACAAGTGACAAAGTGACAGAAAGTTAAACTAATGAGTTTGGTTTGTAATTTAAATCCTAAAAAATATCTGGTTTTATTGTGACTACATATTTTCCTGACATTTATGCAACCGATATACTTTTTATGGGTGTGATTTGATGATTTAATGGGTTAAGACAAATTCTGAAACAACTGTTTGATAGCAAATATTTATTACAGTTTTTTATATACATAATTGAATCGTCTTCTGAAATTGGATACATTAGAGAGTCACAGTTTATAAATATAAATAAATAGTGACAGTGCAGATTTTCATTTGAAAGCAAGTGTTCTACAGCTCTTAGTCATCAATAACAATGTCAAGTAATCAATAATATTACAAGATTGCAATTGGTTTGGTATATGGATGTGTTATCTCGGAAGATTCTATTTAAATAAGTTAATTAATTTTTTTATATTTCTAGTAGTCGTATTAATAAGCAATGAAACATTCTAATATTTTATATGAGCTAAACATAGTGGACATAGTAGATATATATTTTGGAAATTAACTTAATGTTATTTATATGAAATATTAAAATGTTTGGAACTGTAATTTATATTAAATTATAAAATTTATTCATAAAATTTTTAAAAAGAAATTTTTCACTCATATTTGCATACGGTTTTATAGTATATTTAATATTAGTATATTTTATTTTTTATAGGCATGAAATAAAAAAGAAATTACAATACGAATACATGGGTTAGGATGTAAATAGGTGAAAGTAGAGTGAAAAGAAGTGTTGCTAGATATAAGGGAGAAATTAGAGCATGGGTGAATGTTTACTGATTCGAGTCTAGATTGAGGTGAAGAAATTTGGCCACTCCAAAGTGTTAAAGCCATAGATTTATGAGACTGAAATGAGTGCATTAAGACTGAATTCAGGTTATTGTCTTAAGTGAATAAAATTTCTACAACTGACAATTTACTAGAATCTCAAAAATAATAGGAATAGGAATTATTTGTATTTGTAAACTTGATATGCAGTTCCAATACGCCGAATATAAAAATATGCTATTAAATAATATTTTATCTTCAATAATAGAATTTCTGTTTTTTTTTTCAATTAAGTGGAATTAGAACTGACTCAGATACTGCTAACTATTTATCATTCGTAAAAAATTTAGTTTTCTTCTTTCTCTCAATTAAGTAGACTCAAATAATGCTGTTGTTAGTATAACCTATCTGAGAACCCTGAAAGCAGGAAAAGATAAATAGATTATGACAGCTTCCAAGAGCGCCAGCATTTACGTTTTTGAGTTATTTGTCTTTTTAGATGACCAAGCGCCGTAAGTGATCTGAAAGCAAGTGAGCGATTGTTTTGAGGCTTTCGCATTTTAATTTAAATATTTAAATTCTTTACTATGTAATGCATAGAAGAATTACTCACCACATAGTTACCACAAATTTACTACTTTAACACACCACTGTGTTGGCTAGCGTAAAAATATAGATAAACTTCAAATTTATATATAGTAAATTTTTGTCTTTCTTTTTCATTTTGTATTCTGTCTATGTAATAAATATATTATACTCCTTTCTGATTGTTTCTTTAGTATTTGGAAATTATTATTATTATAATGCAATACTCATTACAGGGGTTCAAGAACGGCCGGATCTATGTCCCGAAGCCACTCGTCACGTACGACGACCAAGTAACGTAATCCACACCCAAAATGGACTACACAAGTAGGTCTCTGCAGGCTACAATAACAACAAGTCACTACTTCGTATATCTTAAAAATATTATATAAGAACATTTTTCGAAGTCACTAATTTAAATAAAATATATAAATTTTTTAATGTGTTTAACTACCATCTGCAACTTTTTACGTATTACATATAATAATTATGAATTAGTGTAATTAATAAAATTAATATATTTGTATATAAGACAATATCACATACCCCCGTAAGTCAGCTTCGCAACTTCTGAGAAATTTCATAAACAACGGCAAAATATTTGATGTTATCGTTATGGGTGGTGGAGCGCCCTTCTAAAAAATTAAGAGAAAACAAATTTTATGAATTTTACAGATTTGTTGACATTATTTATTGATATCTTTTTACTATACATATATATATATATAACAGATAAAATTAAAATTTTTTCTTTAAAAAATAAAACGCGTCTAATCACACATTGAGAGTGATTCCATTAAAAATCTTTCTGAACAATTGTTTCAATTAATATCAAAGCGAACTGCGTAGACCCCATTTTTATACGATCGAATTGTTTATAATTCTAAGAATTTTTACAATTATTTTCCATTGAACAAAATTTTACATTGAACAAAATAAGGTGTTTAAAACACACATTGCACAACGAATAAAAATAATTTGTAGAATCTTAGGTTTGGATTTGCTACTAGTTATTCGGTAACTAGTAACTATTTTTCAGGTTAGAAAGGGCAATGTATACGTATATAAAAATGTTTCTTTAAATCACTTTTAAATTGTTCTAACATTATGAAGTTCAAGAGTAACTAGTATATACGAATTCGAACATGTGACTCCATTTCTTGGACTTTCAAGTTCCCTAGTTTTTTTGTTTGAAAAAATTAATGTAGAGAGTTTTAAAGTAAATAAGCAATATCTGTTCAAGAAAATAGTTTGTAAATAAAGATCACCGAATTCAACATCATATATGTATTAAAAATTTGTGAGTTTCGCAAAATATTAAGTCGCTTATGTTACAATTGTAATAATTATGAACACTATCACAGCAGTTTAATTGAAGGCTGCCTTGAGGTATTCTTGGGAACTAGAGGGTTAAGACTTTATTCATATCTACATATAAAAAAATAAAAAGTTTTTTTAAATATGTCCGTTGAAGTGTTATATTTTGGGTTGCTATAAAAATTTGTACCACCAATCCTGTCAATCAAAATAAGATCCTTGAAAAATTGTAGAGAAGTACAAAACCATTTTATATTTTTTATATTGTTTAACGAATGAATACATGAACACGATAAAAAACTGAACACATTTCTATATAAAAAATAAATATATGTTAATTAATGTTGATTTTTGCGATTATTTAAGTCGCAAAAATGTGATTTATTCAATATGTATTTAGTATGCAAGACGTCAAGATGCAAAAATATTTATGAAAACTCAATATATTCCAAAGTACATATTAGATTAGAAACATATTAGATTAGCATAAATCTGAAGAAGACAAACGATATATATTCTCGATTAGAATAACAAGTCCATTTAGTAATGTATGTATATTTTTAAGATCACATTAAACTGAAATAGACAGGATATATGCATATATTCTCAATCAGAATAACAAATCGATTCAGGAATACATACATATGTGTCCTTTTTTCGTAAAGTAGTCTCGCTGCTTCGGAGCTAATCGTATGAAACAATCCAAATATTATAAAATTAGTTATATATGCATTTATGCATTATATAGCATAAATTAGGCCCTTCCCAAGCAAAAGCACTGTAAAAAATTATTAAATTGGATTTACACAATAAAAGAATATCGTATAGAAAAGAAACTTCCATAAAAAAATAAAACGAGAACATCACTTGATGTAGTATACAAATTATTGACATATATTTATTATCAGAGGATAATTGTCTTTAGGATCAAAATTATAGAAGAATATCAATATGAATTTCGTAAAAACTGATCAACTTGGTTTTTTCCGATATATGGACTTGAATAAAAAATGGAAGGCTTTAATTAACGAGAAACTGGTAAACCAAGAATTGTAAAACTAAGCCAAAATTAAAGATATATTGTGACGTTAAACTGGGATCAATTTAGACAAAATGCAATAAAAGTTTCGTGATGGCCTGTTTCTGATACAAAATAGATTATGGACGATTTTTTAATCAAATTGGGAAGCAATTATACCGCATGAGTTTCAAACCACTTTAAAATAATTTTTTAAAACCTATAAGCTTATATTATTATTTATTTGTAATCAATTAATGATTTTAAAACAATTTTAAATTTAATATATATACTTTGTATATGTATTAATATAATTCCACTTATGAATCTAAGCTTGAGGTGAATAATTCCCATTGAGGTGAGCTACTGACGACGCTGTCAAATTATCGTAACGCACAAAACAACAATCTATTTAGTGTTTAATATTTAAATTAGAAAATATTTCGTTGTTACATTAAAATTTGTTACAGCATTTATAAACAATTTGTAATATTATCACATGAGAACTTTTTGCAAATGTTTAAAATATATCCATCCATGCCAAAAAAGATCTGATAAGATAATTATCTATGTGAAGACGACAAATTGACCCTTCGTACCGACCACAACATTGTATATTTGATTTCTTATATACAGAACCATTTTGTTATTTTAAGCATGAGATGAATGACATGATTTAGAATGTCTTAAAAATTACACTTCATTATTTTATATTTATTTATTAAACTTACTCATCAGTTTAAATCAAAACCAACGCCAGCATTTCTAAATAAAAACAATGCTCGCGCACAATCGACATATTTACACGTTTAAGACACCAAACTAAAAAAAAAATTATACACTTATCATAACGCCAACAACAACAAACCCTTTTTCAAACGTTGCTGTCCAACTAATGCCGGTATTATACCAACAACAAACACTGTGTCGTATATGCCAGTAGTAAATCTACTTATTTGTTTATTTACATGTGTTTGCATGTGTAGTTTCATATTACAAAATCACAAATTAAATTCAGAACTATTTTATTTACTTCGTTTTTGTTTTTATGCTTTCTCTTTTTACTTTTTAATCACTTTTATTGCTGTTTCTGTTTCTTGTTTAAATAAAGGGACACAAAACAAAATAAAACGTTCATTTCCAGATAAAAAATGGCAACATTTTGCATTTGTATAATGATTATTAACACAACTACATTAACAAAAGCTATTGCCTTCGCATGTACAATGGCAACTATAAACAGCTGATTTTGCAGCTGATATGTGTGGTGTCTCACTATTGTCACAGTAAAACTAGCATCCTCATTAAATTAAATTAAATTTTTTTTCCAAATTTTTAAAATCCATTTTAAGAAATACAAATATGATTTTATACATATAATTTACTTTTAGTTCACATTTCACACAACTTACCCTTTTTTGCTAACATGGGACATATGCGGGGGTACGAACACGCGTTTGCTTACGCTCCTCACTCTCTGCAAATTTAATGTATGCACTAATATTTACACGCACACAAAAAAATTTCATTCTATTTTATTACAAAAACAAACTGAATTTCTTACCCGTACAAGAAATTTCGCAACTAAACTGAAAATAATATTTAATTTTTATTATTGTCTAATCATTTCTGACGTTTTTTACAACAAACTTTGTATAATTTACTAACAATATATTTTTTTTCTCATTCTAGTGTTTATTAAGTCAAACTTTTTCCTAATCGTTACAAAACAGACGGTTACTTTTTATAAATAACCAGATAGCATTGATGTACGCAACATGATTTAACAACTTAAATAAAAACAATAATGAATATATTAATATATTATCCTTGTTTTTTAAAATAATATACAAATTGTTATAATTAAATAAAATAAATTATAAGAAGAAATAAATTAAGATTATATTTCTTTATTAAGATTGGTAACAAAAATATATATATACATCGTCAAAATTAAATCAGTAAATTTGGTAAAAAAATATTTCTGTTCTCATATGCATTCTTTAAAACAGTTACCAGTTCACATAATGGCCGCGTGCAAGTTCGAGTAAATTGAGGTAAAGTAAATAAAAATTTCCTAGGTATTCTTTGCACCGCATTTATGTAAATATTTATTTATTTAGTTATTTATTTATTGTACTTATTTATTATTTTTGGTTACAAGTTTTCAAATTTATTTATTTATTTATTAAACATCTAATAAAATTTTCACAACGGTAAGACCTAATTTACTTAACTTTTATCTAATTTACCCTCCTCGACATTCTGGTAAATACCAACATACCGACATTATTTACTATTTCCCTCAACTTACCGTCAATTTACGCGAACTCGCACACGGTTATATAAGTTATTTTATTATATATACTGTATATATACTGTCCACCTAATCAACCAATTAAAAGTCATCAATTCGCAAATTATTTCAAAACGCTCGGGCCCAATTTCGTAGCAGCAGGTGACTTTAACGCCAAGCATACTCATTGGGGCTCAAGATTAATAACACCCAGAGGACGCGAGCTATTAAAAACGATACAAGAAAGCAACCTATTTCACCTATCTACTGGCGAACCCACTTACTGGCCGACAGATCTAAATAAAACACCAGATGTCATTGACTTTTGCATTTGTAAGGGTGTACCCATAAATAATCTAACCTTGCGGTCGTCGTTAGATCTTTCGTCTGACCACTCTCCTCTTCTGTTAGAAATTCATTCGAATATCGTTTTAAAAACTCCAGAACTCAGACTTCACAACAAAAGAACTGATTGGGCTATTTTCCGTAGTTACATTAGCGAACACCTCTCGACACATATTCCTCTTAAAACTAATCATGACATTGAAGCCGCAGTAGAACAATTCAACAAAATTGTACAAAAGGCAGCTTGGTCTGCAACTCCGTCTACACAGAATTGTAGGACTGTACATCTAGACAAGGATATCAAAGAATAACTACTTGTAAAACGTAAATTACGTAGGGTTTGGCAGATGACGAGAGATCCTAACGATAAGAGGCGCCTGAATGTAGCCACTAAAAAACTCAAAATAAATCTAGAGGCAAGAAAAAATGCAAGCATTGCAACTTACTTAGCAAGCTTGTCTCCCTCTGAGGCCACTGAGTACTCCTTGTGGAAAGCCACACGCATACTTAATGCACCAACATCGCATATACCACCAATAAGGATGAGTAATGGGCAATGGGCTAAAACTGATGCTGATAAAGCGAAAACTTTTGCAGTGCATCTTGGTAAAGTCTTTCAGCCACGCTGCTCAAAAAATAATCTGAAAGACTCTGAAGTTGAAGCTTTTCTTCACACACCGCATCAATTAGACTTTCCTATTCCTAGGTCTTTGACTCGTGAATTAAAGTGGGTCATAAAAAACAAAATTAAAACCAGAAAAGCTCCAGGATATGATCTGATAACCGGAAAGGTGCTACATGAGCTACCAGATGTGGGTTTTAAATTCATAAACCAATTGTTCAATGCAATTTGCACCTGTGAACACTACCCAGCTCAATGGAAAGTCGCTCAAATTATATTAATTCCAAAACCCGGTAAGCCCGTCGAACTTGCAACATCTTACAGACCGATCAGCTTACTTCCGGTGTTGTCAAAAGTATTTGAGAGAGTATTCCTAAAACGTCTAAAGCCAGTTATCGAAAATAGATGTCTGATTCCCAACCACCAATTCGGGTTTCGCGAACATCACTCTACTATTGAACAAGTAAATAGAGTATACAACTTTGCAAGACTTGTATTGGAAAATAAAGAATACTGCACAGCAGCCTTTATCGATATAACACAAGCATTCGATAAAGTATGGCACACTGGACAAATTAAAGTTACAACTCCCGCATAGCTACTTCTCCGTCTTAAAATCATATATACTAGATCGGCACTTTATGGTTAAAATGAATAGCTGTCACACTGAACTTTTTCAAATAGAGGCTGGAGTTCCCCAAGGAAGTGTGTTGGGTCCTACTCTATATACTCTGTTCACAGCAGATCTCCCACTCAGGGCTAAAACATACACTGCAACATTTGCGGATGATACTGTAGTGATGGCGAAACACGCAGATCCTGTAGTAGCTTCACAACTTTTGCAAAGTAATCTGAACGATGTCAACGCATGGCTAGACATTTGGCACATTGAAGCTAACGATAACAAATCAGTTCAAACTACTTTTACACTCCGCCACGGTACCTGCCCTTCCGTTAGACTGAATGGCCGTGAATTGCCGCAAGCTGAAAACGCCAAATATCTAGGTGTACATTTTGATCGCCGTCTAAATTGGCGTCACCACATCTTTACAAAAAGGAAGCAGTTAGGACTAAAGCTACGCTCACTTTACTGGCTACTTAATCCCAAATCCAAATTATCGCTACAAAATAAAATACTTTTATACAAGGTCGTCTTAAAGCCAATCTGGACGTACGGTATACCCATCTGGGGTATAGCAGCGAAGTCAAACCTAGATATGATTCAGAGGTTTCAATCAAAAATACTACGTATCTGCGCCAACGCCCCATGGTTTATCCCGAATAACGTCCTACATCATGATCTTGGCATTCCTACTGTGTACGAGTCAATACAGCAGATAAGCAGCAACTATCACTCACGACTGGTAGTTCATCCTAACCCCCTTGCCGCAGGCCTAACGAGGGATGCTTTTAACATTCGTAGATTAATACGCTATGCAACTTCGGATTTGCCGAGCAGATTCTAAAAATTGTAATTCTTCATAAGGCGGTGATTACCACTGGGTAGTCCCGTACATGCCAATCATATATTGTTATTGCCATAAGTAGTATTTATTATTCATGAATAGAATAGATTGTATTTAATAAAATGAAGTTTAAAAAAAAAAAAAAAAAAAAAAAAATTATATATACATTAAAATTTAAAACAATATATTTTCTTGGAGAAAGTAAATTAAATCTTTTAATATACTTTAGCTGATATTTTGAAAAGATCTTGTCTTTGTACAATGTCCTTCTTTTTCAAATTTAGTTACAGTTACAATCTGGTTACATACAAAAATCTGACAGCTGTGATTTATAATGAATTATAAAATGTACAAAATCAATTAGTTACAGTTACAATCTGGTTACATACAAAAATCTGACAGCTGTGATTTATAATGAATTATGAAATGTACGAAATCAATTAGTTACAGTTACAATCTGGTTACATACAAAAATCTGACAGCTGTGATTTATAATGAATTATAAAATGTACGAAATCAATTTGAAGAAAATTTATTATTCATAATAGTACAATTTTGTAATAATTAAATGGCACTACAGACGTCAATTTGCCTGATGAAGCAATTTCAAAAATTTTATATATGCAGGCATATAGATTAAGTTTTCTTCAAGCATAGAAAATAAACATTATAGATATTTAAGATCTCTGTGCATCGTTGCATGTGCTAAATTATTTGATTTTACATAAACAATTTCCTTTCTTATGATTCTGCAATTGATTTCCAAGGAAATAAACCGGACCATATTTTCAACACCAATTACCTTTTGCTTATATGATTTTCCATATTCTATTATGAATGATACTACTTTTTTACTGTTCACTGGGCAATACTTTAGCGAAATTGTCAAGCTTTGTTGACAATTGTTTGATTTTGTATCTATTTTGCGTCCTAGAAATTGTTATTACATATAAATGCACAAATCTATATTACCCATTAAGTCTGTAACAGCAAAATTCGGCACAGTATTCAGTATATTTCGCTTTTCACTTTTTCTTGGTATTGTCAAAATTATGCATATCGATTTTGAGTTATATTTTACACATAAATAAATACAAAAACAAAAATCAGCTGTTCTAAATATTTGCAAGACTAATATGTACAAAATGCATTCACGATTATTTGTGTTTGCAATGATGCGCATTCAACGATGCACAGAGATCTTGAATACCCCTATTATATATAAGTACATTTGAACAGGTATCTATATAAATACAATTCAGACATAGTCATTGACCGAGTTCAAGG